CAATGCCGTAGTAGTAGTAGTAGTAGTAGTAGTAGTAGCAGAAACCCCCGAGACGGCGATGTGGCAGCAGCAAAGCGAATCAAGAAGCTGCTGCCTCCTTTCCATTTGACCGTCACACAAATCCCACGCCAGCAGCAGCACAGCAGGACGCAGCTGCGGGAAGGGCAGAAGCACCTGCGAAGCAGCTGCAATATCCCTGCAGAATTCCCAGACCATAGCACACGTGCATCAGACTGTGTGTATTTGTATGTGTGTATTTGTATGTCTGTGTGTGTGTATTTGTATGTGTGTATTTGTATGTCTGTGTGTGTGTATTTGTATGTGTGTATTTGTATGTCTGTGTGTGTGTATTTGTATGTGTGTATTTGTGTGTGTTCGCCTTATTCTGCAGCGCGTCATGCAGCAATAAATGCCTCCCCTCCCCTCACTTCCCCCTCCCTCTCTCCTTTCTTCTCCTCTCCTCCCCCCTCCCTCTCTTTCCTTTCTTCTCCTCTCCTCCCCTCACTTCCCCCTTCCCTTTGCCTGCCCTTTCCCGCCGCTCCTCCCTTTCTGCCATCCTCCGTTGCCGTTGTTGTTTGTCCCCTCGCCTTTGAGCGCTGCTTCTTCCTGGAGAGGGGATGCTCTGAAGAACCCCTTTGCTCACGTACCTGGAAATCACAAACTTCACAGCAGCCTTCAGAGGAAGAAGGAGACAGTGCTCGCCAGTTGCGACGGAGAAACGGAAGTATTGCGTCCAAAAAGCCTCTGGGTTCTTCAAGCCAAGGGCCTCACTGAACGTCTTCTCATCGGCTGCAGCAGCAATAGCCTCTGCTGCTGCTCCTGCCGCTGCCGCTAAACATGTTGGCGCGGCAACTCCCCGCGCTGCTTCGGAGGCAGTGCACTGCACAGCCTCCGATGAAGGTGCATGCAATGCAGTGTCTGAGAGTCCTGTGTCTGCAGCCGTCTGCCGTGTGCTTGCCATATATTCACGCCGACTGCCTCCACTTCTGCCGCTGCTGCTGCTGCTGTGTTTCGAGACGACACCAACAAGCGATCGCAGCGGCAGTGGCATCGGACTGCCTGCCGCCTTGAGGCGCAGCCAACAGGCGTCCACGTGGCAGAAGATCTGCAGTCCAATGTATTGCAGGTGTTTTCTAGGACTGCTGCCGCTGCTGCTTGGACTGTCTGTACTCCCCCAAAGCGGCAAGTACATGTGCTGCAGCGGCTCGTGAGCGAGCAGAGCCTCATACACCAGCAAGCGCGTCCTGTCAAGCCTGCAGCATTCTCACGACATCGGAGAGAGAGAGAGAGAGAGCAGCTGCGAATACTATACTCGCATCCTACTGCATTCTCACGACATCGGAGAGAGAGAGAGAGCAGCTGCGGATACTATACTCGCATCCTACTGCATTCTCATGACATCGGAGAGAGAGAGAGAGAGCAGCTGCGGATACTATACTCGCATCCTACTGCATTCTCACGACATCGGAGAGAGAGAGAGAAAGCAGCTGCGGATACTATACTCGCATCCTACTGCATTCTCATGACATCGGAGAGAGAGAGAGAAAGCAGCTGCGGATACTATACTCGCATCCTACAGCCGCTGCAACCCGGAGTGTTCTTCGAACTCTTTAAGAACGCAGCGCACCTCACGCATACACTGCTGCCTCTTAAACTTACCCCTGTGAAGAGAAAGTCGCCAAAGTCTGCCGCACGCCTTCATCCTCCCCTATGCCACTGCTCCTCATCCTTCTCCTGCTAAGATCTCCCCCCCTTTTCAGATCCTGCTTCATCGACAGAACGGCCGCTGCGGAAACTGTGCTGCTGCTGCTGCTAGTGCTGCTGCTGCTGCTAGTACAGCTGCAGCTGCTAGTACAGCTGCAGCTACTACTACAGCTGCCACTTGCAAGCGCCTCCGTGCCGATTAATACCGTCGCACTCCCTCGCGCTGCTGAAGTCTCTCTACTGCCGTCAGCTCCAGAGGCAGCCACATGGCGATTCCGCGAAGCTTGCTGCTGATGTGGCCTCCTTGCGGCAGTCGGAGGAGCGAGCTGACTCAAAAAGGGAGGAAAGAAACGCGATACGAGGGCTGCAGCGTTGCTGCTGCCTCCAGCGCCTCGAGAAGCAGCAGAAACTCCCGCTGTACCTGCACCTGCAGCGCAATTATCCACGGGAAAGCCTCCCCCATTTACGCGCGGCGAAGCGGAGGTGCCCCTAGTACGCACAGACAGACACAGACATACATGCAGAGTAAAAAGAGATACATACATAGAGATATACATACATACAGACAGACAGATACATGCATATGGGCATACATACATACATACATACAGACAGACACACAGACAGATACATGCATATAGGCATACATACATGCATACATACAGATACAGACACACAGCCATACATACAGACATACAGAGACAGACACAGACATACAGCCATGCATACAGCCATACATACAGACATACAGAGACAGACACAGACATACAGCCATGCATACAGCCATACAGACATACATACAGCCATACAGGCATACATACAGACATATAGCCATACAGACACAGACATACATACAGATACACATATATATACATACAGACACGGCAAAGGAATGGCCGCAGTATCCAGCATCAGAGCGCCGTCATATCCGCAAGAAGCTGGTAGGGTATAGCGCATCCAGCAAGTTGCCATCAAGGGCGAGGATTCAAAACACCAGCAGCACATGCAAGAACAGCAGCAGCAGCACATGCAAAAACAACACATAGACCCAGCAAAAGCACATGCAAAAAGAGCAGCAAGAATCAACAACAGCAGTGCCGCTAGAGGTTCCTGTCGTACTTGCTTAGAGCAGTGACTCTGGCCATAGCCTCCTGGGAGATCTCGGGAGGTTCCTGCAGCGTTGTTGCGTCATTGAAGGCTGCGAAGACCTCTTCTACAGCGTCTTCTGCCGCGTTCAAATCTAGCCAGCCTAAGGCTTTTAAAGGAGACGGGAAAGGCAGTCGATGCGCTTGCGGAGGAAGCGTGCCGTTTACGATTTGCCCCTCTGTGAGGACGGTTGCAGCCGACGCTACTTCTGCTGCTCCTGCTGCTTTTGCTGTTTCTGCTGCTCTTGCTGTTTCTGCTGCTTTTGCTACCACTGTCGAGTTTCCTGTCGGGGGGAGCTTATCGGAAGCCTCCGTAGCGTTGTGACTTCCTGCAGTCGGCAGCAGTTGCTGCTGCACGGGAGTCGCAGCAGCCGCGCCAGCAGGAGGGGAGATGCCTAAGGCTTCTTGCACGAGACGTTGGAGCTGTTCTTGCAAAGGCTCAGCGTATGGCTGCTGCATGCGGCGAGTTGACTGCATCGCTCCCCGTGCCTCAGCTTCTCCTACTGGTGCTGCCGAGTAGACCAAGTTTCTGTCTGCTGCTGCTGCAGCGGTTGCTTGCGGGGGAGTGAGTGAAGGCTGTTCGAGCCAGGCGATGACGAGAACCAACAAGCGAAATAGATTGAGACACCCCGCACGGAGCGTTGCCTCCTGCCGATGCCGCACTGCCGCAGTCTCCTCAGTCGACGCCGACCCCCCCGCCGAGTCGCTGTTTCTGGAGTCTGCTGGTCGCTTCCCCGGAGCAGCTGCGAGCTGCCGCTGGTGCTGGAGAGCCGCGACAAGCGGCAGCAAGAACTTTGAGGGATCCAGCAGCTTGAGGTGCTCATAGAGCGTCGCTGCGTTGCCTTCGGCTGTCGGGAGCGGCAGCAGCAGCAGCGTTTCTGCAGCAGCAGCAACTCGCAGCTGCTGCAGTTGCAGCACCAGAGAAGCGAACAAAAGCAAGAGAAGCCTCGCCACGCCGTCCTCGAGGTCTTGTTGCTGAGAGGTCCCTGCAGCGCCAGGCTGCCTTCGCTGCAGAAATGAATCCTCGGTTGCTCGCGCCGCGCTCGTTGCTGCCCCCGTGCACGTCTTCCTGCCAAGTGTGGCAGGCGAGCTCAAGCCAGTCTCCTGCGCTTCGCGCCTTCTCCGCAGCGCAGGCGACACGAAGCTCCTGACTGTCTCCGAGTGGCTGCAAATGCCGCCTGCGGGGGTGCTCGTTGTGCTGCTGCTGAAACCCCACTTCGCAGCAGAGAGAGGCTGCAGAAGGAGCACTTGCGAAGACGCCGTCGTTGCACGCGAAAGCGCTGTGAAAGCCTCTCCCGCCTGCCGCTTATCCGCCTCTTCCCCCCGTACCCCTCGATGCGAGAGGAAACTTGCGTTGGCAGTCGGGGTGGGGCCGCTGCTGGGAGCCTTCGCGCTGCTAAAACTGCTGCTAAAACTGCTGCTAAAGCTGCTGGCAGTGTCGATCCACACGCCTTGCGGGAAAGCGCCCAAAGCTTGCGCAAGCGCGTCCGAGAGGGCAGGCTGCGACTGCGCGACAGTCGCGAGCTGCTTCAGAGCAGCAGGAGAGAGTGGCAGCAGCTTCTGCGGCAGGTGTCGAGTCTCTCCCACGAGCTTTTTCACAGTTGCCTGGAGAGGCACTGCCGCTGTGGGAAGCCGACAGCAGCGGGGGGCAAGAGAGGCGTTCATGGGAAACAGCGAGATGTGTGGAAGCTGCAGCACTTCTGGCGGGTACGCCGTGGATGTGGCGAGAGAGGTTTTCTCGGAAGTACTGCTGCTGCCGCGCATCTCTGAGGCAGCTATCGGAGGCGCCGCGCATTCAACAAAGTTTAGATGCCCTCGGCAGCAGAGCAACAGCAGCACGGCGTGCAGCTGCCTGAGCTCTGCCGCAACGGAGATGGAAAACGAGCGATTGCTTGCCGCTGCATCTAAGATGCATTGCGCAAGCAACAAATCAAAGTGAGAACGCCGCAACAGCCACATGGGCAGCGCCTCTCTCAAAGACACCCGACGATGCATCCTAATGCGAACTTCTGGTGAAGAAGATGCTGCTGCTGCTGGTTGATCCCTCGTGGGAAAAAGCGGAGCTGAGGCTGGTAACGCTGCCGGTGCGGCTGTTGGCTCGCATCCTACGGCTGGAGTCTGTGGGGAGGCAGCATGAGTAGCAGCAGAAGAAGCAGAAGAAGCAGAAGAAGGAGCAGAAGAAGCAGAAGAAGAAGCAGAAGAAGCAGAAGAAGAAGCAGAAGAAGAAGCAGAAGAAGAAGCAGAAGAAGAAGAAGAAGAAGAAGAAGAAGAAGAAGAAGAAGAAGCAGAAGAAGAAGCAGAAGAAGAAGCAGAAGAAGAAGCTGAAGGGGGTGCCCCGAGACTGCAGTCGTGGGAGCTGATGGTGAAATCTGCAGAGGCACTGGTGCTGCTGTTGCTGTTGCTAGAATTACCAAAAGTGCTCGTCGTGTTGCTGAGGCTGCCGAGTATACGTCTGAGATCTTCAATGCAGCACCAAACGAAGTGAGCGCTGCTCGGCACTGCCTCTGAACAAAGCCAGGGAGGAGGGGGACCATACGTAATGATGGAGGAGAGAAGGGAAAGCGCTCTCTGCTTGTCTGCCCTTGCGAGCAATCGCAAGAAAGCGCGAGCCAAGGCAAGCTGGCCTAAGGAAAGGCAGTTGCACAGCACGCGTTGAGTTCTCTGAGGCAGGGGGGGAAAGCCGCTTTCGTGAATAGGAGAGAAGGAAGCAGCAGAGGCACCCCCCCGAGTGCCCCATACATTTCGCCGTCGCCTTCGCTTTGGTTTGCGCGTCTTGCCTCCTTCCATTTCAGATCGCAACTCGCTGTCAGAGCCGCTGCTGCTGCTGCTGCAGGATGTGCTGCTGCTGCTGTACGATGCGCTGCTGCTGCTGCTGCTGTCGTGGTGCGCGTTGCTGCTGCATTCTGCATGCATTGGCTGTTGCTGTGGGTTACAGCTACTGCCGCTGTAGGATGTGCTGCTACTGCTGCTACTGCTGTAAGATATACTGCTGCTGCTGCTGCTGCTGTCGTGGTGCGCGTTGCTGCTGCATTCTGCATGCATTAGCTGCTGCTGCACCTGTCCTTGGACCGCACTGTGCAGCATGCATGGGCTGCTGCTGGGGTTGTTGCCCTTGCTGATCGGCGCATGCATGGACAAGTGGCGCTTCGAATCAAAGAATGGGCTTGCAGAAGCAGAAGCAGCTGCAGCAGCTGCTTCTGCTTCAGCAAGCGGACTAGCGCCACCTTCTGCGCATGTGTCTTGAAGTAGAGGCTGCTGCTGTGTAGAGGGGTCGGCGTGCTGCTGCAGCTGCAGCTGCAGCGTGCATCGCGGAGGCTCGCCGCATGCATCTTCTTTCCAGAGTTGATAATGCGCGCGATCTGCAGCGGCTTCCTCCGAAGACTCCTGGGTGCCAGGCAGCTGCTGGGGTTCTTCCCCCAGCAGCTGCTTCTGGGCGTCGCTACGCATCCGGCGTGTGTGTTGTTACGAGGGCCCTCTCATGGCGGTGACTGAAGCAGCTGTCGCAGCAAGAAGCCTCGCAAAGGCTGCCAGAGGCGATGTCTTGTGCGTGGGAGGCATCCAGCTGGTCCTGCTGGTGTTGCGGCTGGCTGGGCGTACCTAGCCGTCGACAGAGCTGGTAAGGCACTCCGCTGTACGGGCAGTTGAAGAGGGGGAGAAGCAAGTCGAAAACTTCCCAAAGCTTCCGCTGAATTCGCTGGCTGCCGAGGCACGTGACCCTTGGACAGGCGGCGGACGATTCAGAGCGAGACGCGCTAGTGCTGGAATTTAGGGCTGCTGAGCCGAGAGAGCTCAATAAAGAAAGTTTCGCGTTCAATGGGGTTTCCCCCAAGGTTCTTTCGCCAGCCGGCAGTGCTGAAATTATGGTCAATCACCGCAGCCGAACTGCGCAAACCCTCAAGCTGAAACTTGCACCCCCCAGCCGTGACTCGAAGCCCGAGGCTCTGCTGCCTAGCTCACTACGAAGCATGAGGAGACACTAAAGGTAAATATTTCAAGGATTGTATTCCCCAGCGGAAGACTGGAAGAAAAAGACACACCGGCAGCTGTTGCTGGGGGGGCCCCCCCCCGATCCGTTGGGGGGGCCCCCCGGCGCTCTCTGCTGAAAGCCACCCTCTCCTCCCTCTTACTGCCCTGGCAAATAGGGAATCACAAAGGCTCACAAATAGGCGTATCTTTTGCTCTGCTAAGAGTGCCCCTTCGAGACGGAAACGGGAGATTCCGCCATTGCAGGTTGCTGCCTTTGATGGCGACGAGCAAAGGCAGGAAAATACGACAGGACACAGACGCGCGCGGCACGGCTGAGGCATCCAAGGGCAATGCATATGCGAATGTATTAAATGCCATGAAGGGACCAAAAGTGAGACTGGCTGTGCAAAGGCAGACTAGGAGCAGAGGGAAAGTGGCAGTGCCATAGGTGAAAGAGAGAGAGACTAAGCTCGTAAACACACGGTGCAAATGGCAATACTAATGCGATCGCGGTTTCTTCGATGGTTTCAGAGAACTAAAAGCCGTCTTCGTAGGCCCCCCAAAGCACCCCCTGTCGCTTGATTTGTAGACATGTACATATTTGCACGAATAGAAAAATGTGGCGTTGGGCCGGTGTATTCGGGACAGACGAATGAGCCCTGTGTGTATATGTCATGAACGTCTAGATACAGAGTCGCGTATTTCAGGCTGTATGCATTTACATTGTAGGGGTCTACACTCAAAAGCTTCTCGCCAATGTGTTACCTCGATAAAAGAAGACGTAGTGTTGGACGTTTATGCGTTACATGCTATGTGCAACTAGCTGGGCATGCACGAAGTGCTAAGCGGGTGCAGCAATGCACACCCTGGCTGTCCGGCATTCCCCTTGTCAAGGAACTCCAAAGGGCGCGGGCCAGGGAAGGCGCGAGTTCGTTTTAAGAAACACTTTGTAACCTGTTAAACTTGCTTTGAGTCTGCTGTCAAGAGTCTTCTTACGGACACCGTACATCAAGCGCTACAGCTGGTAACACCGCGTGGTTCGACCCCCTGGCTAGGAATGCAAGTTTGTTCCACCAATTGTGGGGTTTCAATCAAGTTATTTGGCAGCTCAAAGGGGTATTTTCTTTGGCGACAGTCTGTTTGGGTGGCAGACGCCGGCTTGCGCACTATTGTGAACGCAGGAGCTCCACAGCTGGTAGAACGACATGACTTGACAGCCCATAAAATGCTTATGGATGCATCGATGACCTTACGTCGACTGGCAAAGTATGATGGCTATCGGGAAGGGCAAGCACTCGACGACTTCATAAGCCAGATAAAGATGCCTCTCGCTTTGTAGCCCCAGATGTAGAGTAATCAGTGCTTCTTGTGGCACGTTTGTAGGCGGGAGAAGCACTACAATAGGGGCTCTTTTGATGTGATGAACGTCATTTGCCTGCAGGGATTCCTACACTTCAAGCCTATATAAAATCCCTGACTCACCTTCTAATGCCGAGATCAGCTCAAGAGTAGCCTGTCCAACAATTGAGAAAAGTGAAGCAAGAAAGCATCAACAGATCGGTGTACCGAAATGCGATACCTTGATTTGCAAAAGCCGTAAGGTAGACGAGTACTTGCATTATCTGAGACTTGTATCAGGGCTACTGGAAGTGTCATGTTGGGATTGCATGGTGGGCAGCCACTCAGCAATTAGACAGAAGACCGGTGGGATTTGTGCAAACGATGGACAAATGAGGGTTTCAGGTGCAAATAAAAGCACCGTCTGCTCTCGCAACTGAAAAAGGAAGAGCCCACTCCGGATTTAGGACCTCTGGAAATCAGGCCTTTATCACCTGGCCGCGGCCTAAGGCCAGGGTGAGCGGGAAGAGAAAATCAGAGTAAACCTGCACCCCAGCGCAGCCCAGACGCCCCCACCAACACCCACCTAATCTTACTACGGGGAACCAGGTCATCTTATGCGGAACTGCAAGCACGTGCTCAAGCAAATACCTTAAACAACGGGACTTGGCTAAAACGCACCATCCGCACTACTGTGTAGTGTTTATCATTCTATGCTCACGAAAATGCAACTGCTTGCCTGAAATTCTGGTTTTGAGCGAGTTCATAAAACAACAGCAAATAATTTGCCGACTGCTCCCTCGCATTCCTGGTATACAGCAAGAGGCAATCCAGGCCTGGAACTTTTTCGTCTGGAGTCAACAGCCACCCCAAGCCAAGAATGGCTTCATAGAAGAGCTAGATAGTACAGGCAAACAAACGCGCAAAGGTCAAAATAGACACAACCGAAGTCCTGATAAGTGGCGGTCGGTTGTTCTTTTCGAGGTTCAAGTCTTGCTCCAAGTCAATCAGCAGGCTGTACAACGTGCACCAGAAGGTAGCAAACGACATTCAGGTTGCTAGAAGCATGAGCAACTTTCTTGCTAATCAAACGTTCTTCCTTTTTCTAGATCCCCACAATACAGAGGTTTTACAGAAAATCCTAATTTGGCTTCCTACAATAGTCTCGAAACTTTCTAAACTTTTAGCCGACGCTGCTGCTAAAGTGATGACCGGCCTGAAGGCGGAGAATCCCCAGGGAGTCGTATAAGCGCTAGCTTTTACGGCAAGTGAGCCCTGATGGCATACTAGATTGGAGTAGATAGTGCAATGACGTTAGAGACGCCAACCTCATGGCTGACAGACAAGCACTTGTGGACTTCATCACCTTCGGAAGATTTTGTTTTCCTGTATGGCTGACGCTGCTAGTCGCCATAAACGGCGTTCATCGCTTGCCTTAGTCATTTTTCTTCCGCAGCGCACGCTCTTGCTGAAAGAGCTGTAACTGTCTATGGATATTGCTTGAACGATGCCGACTATTATTGCTAAAGTGGCCTATACACCCATACGGGCTTTGCAGAGGTACTTCCAGGTATGTATATATGCATCTGCTATGGTTGTGGAATAGCGTGCACTGCATGCGCCAACGGTATTTGCGTGTAGACACTGCTCTAGGGAGTGCTCAGGCACTGCTAAACTAGTTCCTGTTTTGGTTTTCATTACATATAACAGTTGTTTCATATTTCCTCGTGGAAGGAGGTTCACACAATCCGGCTATTCAACGACGGCGAGTCATTGCACCCCTATGGTAATGCTGGTTTGGTCCAGCGTTCGTTGTTGGCGGTTGTGTGCGTCTCTCTTGCCTTCCATATCACTTTAGCTGCTGCTGAACCCACTTGTGCCTCTTAGTTTCCGCAGTTTCGCTTTTCTATCCGCGCGCGAAGTGGCAAATGGGCGAGCTGTCTTCCGCTATTCCGTATTCCAATGGTCTTGCATAAGCGTGAAAAACAGGAGGCTGTGTTCGAACAAAGAGAGAGGGGGAAGATGTAGTGGGCTAAGCTACACGTTGATAAGCTCCACCACACCTGATATATCAAATAATTTATGAGACACTGGCTAACTGGAATTTGTGCTCGTAGATATCATGTATTGCAGCGTACTGCGAGAGTGACACGAGAAGACCCTATTTTATATGTTTGCACTCGATGTTATAGGCAACTGACAAGCGATTGGGGTTCTTTGCAGGTGCACCTACTCACACTCTAGCTGTACCTCTTCCCTTATGCCGGATATCCAAGGGACGCGGGGAGATGGAAGAGAGAAATCCTTTGGAAAACACTCTAGAATGTTCTATTGATTTTTGTTTTGAGAGCGGGAGTAAGTGTCACCCTGGGGAGACCCTAGATGCACTAGTACAGTGGTGTTTTAATGGAAATCAGATACAGGTTGCCAGGAGAACTACTCCCATCCCCCTGATCGCCTGTAGCTCCCCAAGAGTAAGGCTTAGATTCATTTCGCTACAGAAAGTCAATCCTACATTCATTCTTAGATGGATAATGGCACATGGTTCATCAATATACAATTGTGCGCAAATGCACGTACGGATATCATCGCGTATGAGCCCACTTATGCGTGAGGGAAAGCACATCTCTGTGCAAAAGCCCCAAAGGTGTTGTGCATGCACGCATGTGTGGCCCTCAAGAGTAGTCACGTAGGCGCTTATCTCATAGTTGTTTCATGCAGAGAAGGTCGCGGCAGCCTGCACGACAATTCGGCAAAGTTCTCTGTTGAGAAGCACTCTGCCCCGAACTTACTATGAAGCTCAATAAAATGCTGCTGAGGTTTTTCACGAAAACTTTCTCCTTCCTCTGCCCACGTCCTTTAGGGTTCCAGCGTCAGAGCGAAGGGACATCTAGGGTGCGCTAGCGGCCCCTTTTAAGCGCTTAAAGCATGTATAGCTAGCTGCATGTGTCCTCTAGTCCATAGTAACGTCTCTGGTTGCACATAGCTCCCCGTAATAAGCGGTGAGTGGGATATGCCAGCTTACAAAGCAATCGCTTATTTTGATACTGATTCATGTGCAATATAACCAGTATAGAGAGAATATGTGCCAAAGTTTACATCTTGCCTCCACTTGAACGCCCCACCAGTATTTGGCTCCCGTGGGACTCAAATTATATCTGTGAAGCCTGGCCTTAGCCTTTAGCTGGAGGGCCTTACCAAGATATCTAATGGATGACCATGAGGCTTAAGCTGAAAGTTTCCTGTTTCTGTTGAATTTGAGTAGTCTTGATCTGGCCGCGCTGCGTGGAGGCTGGCGCATTCAGTGATTCTGTGTGGATCCAAATCCCTTTCCTGCTAAGATCTCTGATGCGTGTCAAAGTGGTGGAGTGATATTTGCGTCTGCCTGGGTAGAATGCTCTTTGCAAACAACTAGCGACATTTGAACTGGCTACCCTGCTCCCGTGTGTCCGGGGTCTGCATAGTCTTCCCGTGCAGCGAGACAGCTCTTGCCGGGAGATGAAGCTGCAGGTGCACGCCTTGACACATTCTGCGGTCTGTATATTGCTAGTGACTCCAGGGGGAACGAGAAGGAAGCAGTGCCCTCAGGTAGAGCAGGCGCATGCAGACGTTTCTGAGGCTCTCCAGCGACGCTATGGAGCTGCAGAGAGAACGAAGGCGTCAAGAGAGAAGCGGACATCGAGAGGGTGTGAAAAGCAAGGGAGAAAGGAAGAAGTCGTCACACCAAGGGCATCAAGACACCCTCTGGCCTCGATATCATGAGCCGGGTGCCACACGGCAGCCCCACAGAGCTTGAGGGGCATCGCGGCTGTCTGGAAGTTTGTTTTCTCCATAGATTTGACATAATGCTATAACTGTACAGTCAATAACTTGGGATTTTGGCTCTACTGCACAGGTGTTTGGCTTAGAGGCTCGGGGTATACGCTCGTGCTCCCTGGGATAGGAGGCCTTCTCCTGGCTCTACGAAGCTGAAGGCCACTTGACCTCAGAACTGTACGTGTCCTTGACTTCAAGCCATAGTACAGTTTGGGGCTTTTTGCGTTGGACGCTGAAGGCGTGAGGATCTAAAAGCGGAATTTTTCAGTAGTTGACTCCGTAGTGCCCCCCTCCTTGAGAGACACCAGGTCTCCCTGACGCGTAGGGAGGCTTCTGTTATACCTTCGGACCGGCCCTTAGCTTTCTTTCAGCTCCCCTTGACAGAATCGGTGCTTCTCTGCGAACGACGTACACTTGACTATCGGGAGCAGGGGGAGAGGGGGGTAAGGGGTGTTCCGCAGTTCGAGCTGTGGGTAGCTTTCAGCCTTCTCCTTCACAGTTCTAGCTACCCTCTGCCAGCTGCCCCAGTTAGTTCAATATGTGTATCTGCACGCCTTCATCGGCGCTTTGCAGTGGGTGTCAAGCCTTCTGTTTGCAGGGGAACAGCCCAGCACATGCAGGTGCTGCACAGGGGCATCCAAAGATCGTTGAGGTCCTCTTTTTGTTTCCTCCCATTCTCCAGTCCGAGGAATCGCCCTCAGAGCCTACTCCCCTTCACCCTCAGCGCAGTGTGCCCCATTAGTTGCCAAGTAGTTCAGCAGCGGCAACGGCAGCCAGCAGCCAGTCCTGCGAAAATGACAACCCCTGGCGGTGAGGTGCTGCAACGAAAGGACAAGACAGCGCCTCTCACCTTTGAACCGCGTAAGCGCCAACACGGTTACACAAGATGCCCTTCTAGTGGTGCCTTTGCTTTTGTCGACCGCTTTCTTCTTCCCAATGTCGCCTCCAAGGACAGGGGTCCTTGCCTGATTCCGTGTATAAAGGGTTGCAAGGCGCAGAGGCACTTCGGTGGAATGCGCGACTCCCGACGCTGGCCACCTCCTGTCCACGTTTGTATATACTGCACAGAAGCACACCCTTCCGCATCCGAGAGCCCATCTAAAAACACATACATACACATGCACATAACCCCACATGTACGTCCCTATGGACCTACACGTAGGGTCGAGCGATACGGAAAGTGCCACGTCGTTTTCCCTATCTGTGCGCCTTTCGTCCAGTGCCTGAGAGGCCGAACTTTCCAGCGGAAGAGGAGAGAACGCTGTCGCGGTGGAGAGAGGAAGAAGCATTCAAAAAGTCTTTGGAGCTTTCGAAAGGGCGGAAGCCGTTCTCCTTTTACGATGGGCCTCCCTTTGCAACAGGCCTTCCACACTATGGGCATATCCTTGCAGGCACTATAAAGGTAATTAGTTTCGCTTTTTTGTGTGTTTTTACTGCGACTCCGTAAGCATTTTCTCCCGCCGATCTGCAGCATGCTGGGCTGGGGCCTTGTCTGGGAAGTTGAGTCGCACCTTCCAGTGCCTCCTTCTTGCTCTAGGAATCAATCGGCTTTCCCCGGCTGGCTCTCCCTTCCAAACCCTCTTGCAGCAACTGCTCCCGCCCACTTTGCTTGTCTGTTACAGTCATATGCCTCTGCAGTATGTCCTGGTGGCCGTGTGCCTTTTCAGCTCGCTACCTCTCTCTCAATATCTCTTTTTCTGGCAGCCTCTCTGCTCCTCTCTTTCCTGCTGCCTTCGAGATGCGTCCCCTTGCTCTTGGAGCTCGTCGCTGCTTCAGAGGGAAGTTCTGCCAAACGCTCGCTGGTCTTGCATGCACGTGCTGCCTTTCCCGGTGTGCATTGCATGTGCTCGACCTTAGGACGTTGTCTGCCGCTTTGCTCATCAAACGGGGCACTTCGTGGAGCGGCGCTTTGGCTGGGATTGCCACGGGCTTCCTATTGAGTTCGAGATCGACAAGCTGCTCAAAATAAACACACGGCAGCAGGTGCTTCAATTCGGCATCCCCCAGTACAACGAGCAATGCAGGTTGGTCCTTGAGTACCCCCAAATCCGTCAGCTTGCTTACAGACACCCGTAGCACCCCCTTTCCCCTCCCCCCCCCTGCCCCCAAATCAGGTGTGCTTAAGCACGAACCCAAGCATCCCCTGTTGCTGGTGCTTACGTCTGCCTGCAGGTCCATCGTGCTGCGCTACTCCTCTCAGTGGAAGGATATTGTTGGTGGGCGTTGTTGTACTGCTGCTGCCGCGTCCTCAGTTAGGTACCTGCCAGCTGAGTCTCTTCCTCCTTCTTGGAGTTTCTCCGGCATAGCCCCCTTGTCTCTTCCGTCTTCTGGCTCCTTAGCCCTTCCGTGCCAGCGCTGCGGTCTGTGCTCCTGGTAGCATATTTATGTGCCTCTGCGCTGCTGCTTTCGGCCTTTTCGAAACTCCTAATTACGCTTCTCCCTGTACGTGTTCGGATTTCGCTTTCGGTTCATCACGCCTGTCTACGAGACGGGCGGGGTGACCTCCTGCGTGCTTGCACTGCTGATCCCAGCGTCTGCGCCTTTACGTCTTTTGCATGCTTCCCCCGTTCGTGCAGAGCGCACCGGTCGGTGGATCGACTTCAACAATGGATACCGAACGATGGACCGAGACTTCATGGAGTCGGTCTGGTGGGTATTTAAGCAGCTCTTCGACAAGAAAATGGTCTACAGAGCTTTCAAGGTCGGACAGAGAGACACCCCCGCCGTAACGGCCCCCCTGTGGAACACTTTCTTCGCCTGCAGTGCCTTTAGCTGCGTAGCCTGTCTTGGATTTTTCCTCTGTGCGATTAGCGGCCTTCTGCCTCGCCTCTCTGTGCTCTCCTTTTGCCACCCTCAGGTTATGCCCTTCTCGACTGCTTGCGGAACTCCCCTTTCCAACTTTGAAGCAAACCAAAACTACAAGGACGTTAGCGACCCCTCGGTCGTTGTCGCCTTCAAGTACTTTCCCAATTTTCCCCAGCTTAAAGCGAAATCCACTGCGCTTGCCCCATGTGGTAGTGCGTGCCTCCTGGGCAATAAGCCTATGCTAGAAACACCGCGTTGGAATGCCGCTGCATGTTCAGGTGTGCAGACACTACAGCTTTCCCAGAGCGCTTCGAATTTGTCGCCTGGACGACCACCCCGTGGACCCTGCCAGCAAACTTGGCGCTCTGCGTTCACCCCACAATGACGTACCTCAGAATACACCTCAAATCCAACAAACGGTGAGGGTGTAGGCTTCTGCTTTCAGGGAGGGGATGCTGCGTTTATGATGATCCCTCGATGAAGAAGTGTAGAACAGATTTATCACGCGAAATCGCAAAGTAACGGCATCGCGATCAACAATCGTGCCTAGATGTGCCCCGCCTCCTTGTGCTGCAGCATTCTAGTCTTGGCGAAAGACCGCTTGGAGTGGGTTTGCAAACAGGTAAGTGGAGGGAGAGTTCAGCGCTGAGCCTTTGCTTCATCTCTTTTATGAGAGCTCAGGGCATTGTGCTCGGAGTCCTGTTCTTTGCGCGATCTCCAAAGAGTGGGGTCTGCGTTTTTTTTGAAGACACTCGATTTGGCGTCTTGACCAAGGATTGGGGTGTATGTGCAGATGAAGCTCGACCCCGTCGCCGATATCGAGGTGCTGGCGGAATTCCCGGGGGAAACATTGCGCGGTGCGGCAGTTTTGGCTACCGCTGAATTGCCCAGCCTAGTGGATTTTCGCCCTTTGTCTCTTCCCCACTTACTTGCTCTCTTTTACTGTTGCGTGCTCGTTTCTCCCCTTCAAGTGACCCTTCTCCAGTTTCATTGTCTTCCCCTCCTTTTTCTAGCTCTTGCAGGCGAATGTGAGCTCTTTTGAGATCCGCGGCTGTGGTTGGTGCATGGCTTCCGCAGGTTTGCGATATGTCCCTCTCTTTGACTGCTACGCCTCGACTTCTCCCTTCGCCTTGTCGGCCTTCAGAGTTTGCGTAGATAACTTCGTCACTGCGGACTCCGGTGAGCATATGGCAAATCAGGTGTCGCGCAGCAAAATAAGCGGCTGTCTTAGCGACTGAAAAGCTATCAAGCCCGTGAGAGGCTAAAGGCACTGCCCACAGTGCGGCGCTATCGGTCTGGGGCCCATTGGGAATTTGAATGGGAACTCGGCGCCGTAGCTTTCGTTTTAAAAGTGTCCTAGGGGTTCATGTTTATACTGCCTCGCTGAGGGTGTGTATGTTGCTTCTTCTGCCCTGATGGGAGATATGTGTCAGTGAAATCGCTTTGGTTTGATAACAGGTACCGGAATTGTTCACTGCGCCCCCGCTTTCGGCGAAGATGACTACAGAGTCTGCATCCAGCAAGGGTAAATCCTTACCTTCTTTCCTCCAAGCCAGCGAGAGGCTGCATAAGGCGGCCTCTTCAACGCGATTTGCACTCTCCGTTCTCTCCCTTAACAGGCAGGGTACATGGTTTTGCTCTTTAGGAGCCTTCTTTTCAAAAGTTGGCTCACTAGATGCCGTTCGTGCACCTCCGGGATCATCCCTGTCGCTGAGCGGTGCAGGCTGCCTTCACGATATAGCGTTTCTGAACTTAGCTGTTGTTCGACATGTTTTGTGGTGCCGAAAGGGGCCTCCAGACATTAGTGTACGACGTATTTTGTGGGGATATCGCCGTGCGGTGGGTGATATAGATATGCCTCCCTCTGCGATCTGCGGTTCTTCCAGCGTAATCCAAGTGGGTGGCCCGCTGGCTTGTCCGATAGATGACAATGGGATTGTAACTTCGGATGTGCCTTTTGCTGCTGGATTGAACTTTAAGGCAGCGGACAAGGAGATCAAGGCGGTCTTGAAACAGAACGGTTCTCTTCTAGCGGCCTCAGATCTGATTCACTCGTATCCCTTTTGCTGGCGCTCTGACACCCCCCTGATATACAAAGCCGTGCCATCCTGGTTCATTCGCGTTGAGGACATGAGGGAAAAATTGCAAAAAAACAACATGCTCTCCCGATGGGTGCCAGCAGCGCTGCAAGAAAAGCGATTTCACAATTGGCTGGGAGAGGCGAAGGACTGGTGCGTGTCGAGAAACAGATTTTGGGGAACACCTCTGCCTCTGTGGGCGAGTGAAGACTTCTCTCAACTCGTGTGCATTGGTAAGGCCGATTGGAAACAGCGTAGTGAGGAGACTAATGATCGTCATAATGAACCGGCGAGATTGCGTGCTTCGGACTCAAGCATTGATGTTTTGGGTATTGCTGCTGTTGCTATGCCTGCTTGGCTCTTGCTCAACGCTACGTTTTGAGCTCGCTTCACTACACCCAGCCCTTTCTTCCTCTATCCTACGAATAAGCTTTGTTCTGCGTATTTCCTCATCTCTCCTACGCCTTTCGCTTCGTGATTGTGTCTGTTTAAAAAATGCTAGCGTTCTTATGCTGCTGCCTATTCCCGCATGGCCGTGACTGCTGCGTTCAAGGTATGCTCCCATGTCTTCCTCCTTGTGATTTGTTCCATAGAGAGCGTTGCTCAGCTAGAGGCCATCTCTGGACGCACCTTGCCAGATATTCACAGAGACTCCATCGACGATATAACAATACCAGATCCCAGGGGTCCTGAATTTCCTCCTCTCAGACGAGTTGAGGAGGTGAGATGCCACAGCTGCTGGTGTCAGCACTGGAAACTCGGGTTGTTGCGTCGCTTTTATTGGTGTTGCTGATTCTCTTCGTGCTGTTGCTCCTCTCCTTTTCTCTATTTACCGATCAGTAGGCTCCCGCAGCTTCTGTAGCTGCTGGCGCAGTTCTGAACAATTGTTGTTTCCTGCACTCTGTCTAGACACAGTGTCGCCTGTGTCGCCTGTTGCTGCTGGGCTGCCGCGCTAATACGTAGCTTGTTCGTACTCATGTGTTGAGGGTGCTTCTTAGGTCTTTGATTGCTGGTTTGAAAGCGGCTCAATGCCGTACGCTCAACAGCACTACCCATTCGAGAACAAAGAGCGAGTGGGACTGCTGCTGTGTTGTCAGCGGTGCTGCTGCTGCTCTCCGGTGTACTTTACGTAGCGGCTACTGGTGGTGAGAGCAGATTGGCACATACACCAGCCTCATCAGGTATCACTGCGATTCTATGGGCTCGTGCTACTGCTGCTGCAGTTCGATAAAACATTCCCAGCAAACTTCGTGGGCGAGGGTTTGGACCAGACTCGTGGCTGGTTTTATACGTTGCTGGTCTTGTCTACTGCTCTTTTCGATAAGCCGCCTTTTCAGAATCTGATTGCAAACGGTAAAAGCAACACCAAATCCTTTGCGCATGGGGTTTGCATGCCAGCAATGCCGTCGGGAAGCCAGGAGCCGCTTGCGCAGTGCAGAGACTGTACCAGCGTGATTTTCAGTCTTGGCAACAGACTGAGAAAGCGATCTCGAGGGCTATTTGTCTTCCGCTCTATTACTTACTCTGCTCCCACCTGTCGCCGGTGCCACTTCATTTCAGGTCTTGTGCTGGCAGCAGATGGCCGCAAGATGAGCAAGCGTCTACAAAACTACCCGCCGATATCTGAAGTCTTGGATTCGCTGGGAGCGGATGCGTTGCGAATGTATCTCCTCAATTCACCTGTTGTTAAGGGGGAGACCCTCAACTTCAAGCAGGAAGGAGTCAAGGACGTTGTTAGGGAAGTTCTTCTACCGTGGTATCATTCCACTCGGTGAGTACGCGGCGCTTCAGGCTTTGAGTGGGCTTCCCTGTGTCTTTTCTCGTCCTCTTCGACTCTCTGCCCGCCTCTTTGCCTGTAACTGTGTCGGTCGAGGTCTTCGTATTTGTTCACGCCGTGCAGTGCTAGATTCTCGCCCCTGGCAAGGTTTCCCTTCGAGTCACTCCAGCTTTTTTATCAGCATTACTGGTTATCCCTCCTTGTCTCTCTTACCCCGTGAATCTTGGCCCCTCCTCTGTAGCTCATGCCCCCCTGTCGTTGATCCTCATCCTGCCGCCTCCATGCGCTGAAGCGTTTTCCCTCGGTCCCTGTTTGCTGCAGTCTGCCTACATCCTCCCTGTATTTTTTGCAGCCCTTTCTGTGTATCTCCACTCCATGGCTGATCACTGCGGTTCCCCCTTTTCCCCCCTTTATTCCGCTCGTGCGTCCCGGTGTCTTTTTGTGCAGCTTCTTGATTCAAGAAGTCATTCGTTACGAACTTAGTGGCGCAGGGCAGTTTGTTACTGCGACCTCCGAAGAAGAACAGTGCAGAAAAAATTCAATGGATAAATGGATCCTCTCAGAGACACAACGAGTGATGCAGGTCTGTCCTCGCGTCCTCTAGATTCCGTGAATGTATTCTTGCTCCTCGCTTGTGGGCTCTCTCCTCCGACTCCTTTCAGGTTTCTTCCGTCTTGTCGTGTCACGATTTCACTTAAACATTTACTCAGTCTGCTCGTTACTTCCCTCTTCCTGAACAGAAGTGTTCGTTCTTCTGAGTATGTTCGTTACCTGCCTCTTCGTGAATAAAGGTGTTTCCTCCTGATGGCCGCTCTCCAGTTGCCTTTGAGTTATTACAGTGGGGTTTCTATGAAGCGATGGGTTCGTCTGGCAGGCCCCGTCTATCCTATGTGCTTATCTTCTCTCTTGGTGCTGTTGCGGCTGCAGTTTGTTAGAGAAGAAATCGAAGCTTACCGTCTGTACACTGTAGTGCCCCAGCTTGTCTCCTTCCTCGAGCTCCTTACCAACTGGTGAGTTGAGAGCAGTAGTCCTCAAAACTTTCAGACGCTTTAAAGTATACACCCCGACCTCCTTCCCAATCCATGTTTCTGAGACCCTAAGATGCGAGGTTACGGATCAAATATTCGATTGTACTTCTTTTAAATGAATTCACGAGCTAACCACTTGGCCGCTTCATGCCATGGATTTTTGTCTGTCCTCTCTAGGTACCTGAGGCTCAACAGAGATAGAATGCGTGGTGCTTCGGGGCCTGCCGTGGCTCTGGAAGCACTGCAAACCCTACATTCCGTTTTACTAACGACTGTTGTCTACATGGTGAGATGGGGTTTTCTGTAAGCCTAAAAATGTAAAGCTGTAGCCCTATTTTCGTGCCAAATGTAATACAAAGCGTTTTCTTCCGGCATATATATTGTCCATAATATATGCTCAACACTACCCGCAGCCCGTAAACCTAAGCATCTCCTGTAAACTACTTTCACTTGTCCGAGGTACATGAGCTGGGGTGTATAGCTCTCCGAGCTCCGCTTTAGTCTTATGCCAAATGCGACGGCTCGTGTGTACCTACATATTTGGTTCAGGCCCCCATGACTCCTTTTCTGAGTGAATATCTATACCAGGCCCTAAGAAAGGCCCTGCCATCTGGGCATCCCCTGTTAGCAGACAGCGTACACTTCCTACTTTTGCCACTGCCTAACGATAAGCTCAGAGATACCAAAGTGGAGCAACGCATGACACGCATGCAAAGCGGTCAGTTTAGGGCTTGCAGCACAGCCTTTATTCGACCATAAACTTTTTGAATGTTCAGCAATTATGGGACATACGCAGGCATACTTCCAAGTATATACAAATATGAAGACAGGCTACACTTCGCATATGCGTTATGACTTGCGTGCAAACACGTGTAATTTCTATGATGTAAAAGAGCCCGCAGGCAACTGCGTGTACGCACACAGGTTTTGTGTTCAACCAACTGCATTTGTACGTATTTGGAGCCATAGTACGTATTTTCGCGTGTCAAGTGCATATGAAAACCACAAACGACTATGCCCTTTGACTCGACAGTCACTAGTACCACAATTATGGCATTTGGCGAATGTTGCTTTGCAGTAATTGTGATGGGAAGAACCTTGAGAGAGAGAAAGAGGCTGAGTCTCAAAACCCCTGTATTATCAGTCCGCTGTCTCGTGGGATGCGAAGAACACCGACAAGACCTCCTCGAGACCGAGGCTTACATCAAGGTAGCAGCATGTTTCACTGGATCGGGGCTTGACGCGTAGACTTGAGGGAAGCACGGCTTAAATTTTCACCATCGTGCACGCCAGTGTCATTTATGACCCATATTTGTGCGCTTTGTCGCGTAGGAGGAGCTGAACACGTGCGCGTTTGAGGTCGTCGTGGACAACTCCGAGGTGCCTTTGTCCCTTAGTCTGAATTTCAAGCTTCTTGGCCCTCGCGTAGGTCGGGGCATGCAGAAGCTGCAGGAAGCGGCAAAGCAGCTGAGTCAAGCTGAGCTGAGACAGTTTGAGAGGGATGGACAGATTGAGGTGGCTGGCGTAACACTTTCGTCAGAAGAGGCCTCACTACAGAGGCAGCTACCGGGAGCTGCCAATCCAAATCTTGCAGTGCACTGTGATAAGTAAGTGGCATATAGATCGAGCTGCATACCCGCACTCGATCTGCAGTGTCCAGGCAGCTAGAATCGCTGCATATCTATAAGCAGCTGGAGGAAACAGTGAACTATTTCAAAAGCTGAGAATCACTCGAAGGCCCATGCTTTTGGTATCCGCTCAATATTCTTTCACAAAGGCGGTACCATAGGCCACTGATAATCTGTATTGTTGCCGTTCTTCAGGTCCGTTGTTGTCATCATGGACTTTACCTCAGACCCCTCGTTGCAGCGGAAGGCAATTGCAAGAGAAGTGGGTTTTAGCATATGCTGTAGCTGCTCCTTATGCCGCAAGCGCCCCGGGTGTAGGTGCTACCTTTGCGTGTAACGTCACCCTCGCCGCGAGTGTTGCATCTGCCATTTTGGGTTGTTTGCAGGTGGCAAATCGTGTGCAGAAGCTGAGAAAGGAGGTTCGTCATCAAACTCTCTCCTTTACGCATTTGCGTTTTGTGTGTCGCAAGGGCCAAGCCTTATTCCTAGTGTATGATATGTGTCCTATTTGCAGTTACAACTGCAGCAGCATGACGCGGTGCTGATGTTTGCTTCCACGGAAGACCCAGCGCTTTCTGCAGTGTTGAAAGAGGAGGCAGAATACATCGAGAGCTGTTTGCGGCGGCCTCTACGACACATGGTAGAGAACAAGCGACCAGAGACCGGCGCTGTAATGCACGAGGAGACGGTTTCAGTGGGTTCTTCTCCACTAATTCTGACCTTCGTTAGGGAGTAGGATGGCGGGATTGGTTTTGTTGGGTGTGCCTGTAGAGAGGGACAATCATTTCTGTAGAAAGGCCCCTAGTGCAGACATGCGTGTGAAATTTGATGCGCGCCTGCATGCAAAGCAATCTACAGGCAATCATAATAATGCAGAAAAGATTTATAGATGCGTATTCTTATGTAGCAGCGTAGAGTCACATCTTGATGGGAATTACACCTCGCTCTCTGTCTACGCATGCAGCATCCTAACAGATGTGTATTCCTGTCGACATATATAAATATATATATCACCAGGAACGCACTGCCTGCAAAGGCATGCCCACACATCAGCGGGGCGTCTTGTCTTTGGTCTTCGGTTTTTACTGTACGCCTTTCAAGCCTTCGTCTCTTTTGTGTGCTTCTCCTGCCCTGGACACCTGTCCAAAGACCGCAAGGGGGAGGGACGAAGTTTCAAAGCTCTTGCCTGCACCTTCAGTGTTAGCAGGAAAGAGTGATGGTTCCGCCAATTGAATAGAGAATGCGCCTGCCCTCCCCAGCAATACGAGTAGGCAGTGACAAGTACCACATCGGAAGTAGCAGGGGGAATAAGTCCAGAGGCAGCAAGAGCTCCGGTAGTTCGGCTCTGAGGGAACCTCACTAGTTTTTAGGAGACCTGAATGAGAATAAAGAAAAGCTTTTTTTTGCTTGATAAAACCAAGTTCAGCTCTTCTGTGGCCTCTAGTGTATTCCCGACTTTCTATTGGGCTGCCCATCAAAGACAGTGTACCGTGCTCCGAGCAAATGTGGTGCGAAAGGACTACCGAGAGTCTTGCTCGGGGGTATCGGTGTGGATCTGTAAAGTATTGTACATGTAGAAATATATTGAGTAGCGAATGCATCTATTCAAAGCATTTTGGTTATGAGAACCCAGGCTTTAAAATTGAAAGTTAGGAAACGGGATTCGTAGGTAAACGGACATCAGGTAGTGAACGCAACCTGATTTGTGCTGTATGGCTGTCATCATACCCCTTTTATTGTACTCTGTAGCAGCGTTTGCTTCATATGCATAAGTGAATGGGTTGAGGACGTCGACGGCTTGCCCCCGCTCTGCTCTTCAAGTAGCTGTCTAATATGTCAGGGTTGATCCACGGATTTGTACTGTCGGCTGGACTTTCCTTCGGCCTAGTGGATCTATCTCTGCATCACTTCCCCTAGACCATCTGCTGAGACCACGTGACCCTTCGGTTCCTTTGCATGCAAAACAACTAAGAAAGAGCAGCTCTAGCTTTTCCTGACTTTTGAGGCTCTCCGGTATTGAAGGTGATGTAAGCTTAGTTCAAAACCAGGTCTGTTAAGAGGGGAATTCTCTTGAGAAACTGGCTGCACTTCCGCGACGGTTTGTGGTCTTCCACATTCCCATCCTTTTTCTCAATGTTATATCAGCTGCGCATTCGCAATTAATCATTTTATAAAGCTTAGAGTAATCTACACTTCTTTCCGACAACTTCGGGGTGGGCTGACATGTGCTATTATGTACACAAAAAGACACTCGCGTTTCCGATGCAGCAGCCACAGGCCAGAAGTGCAAAATACCCGCTGCAGCTGTTTCTTAAACAGCGTATCTCTGCGCTAGAAGTTTTTGTATTTCATGCTAACGCTAGAATATCTTTATCCGCCAAGATAGCGCGGGCCATGGGACGTAGGCCATTGTTTGGTGGGCAAGTATTCCAATGGCATTGTATTACGGCATCTTTACTCTTGCCCTCAGGTGTCTGTTATTGCTAGACAAGGCTCTGCATTCTGCATATCCTGGAGAGCCGCTGGGATACCCAGAGAGTGCTATATATTTACTTTACACCAGCATGAAAGAATTAGCTGACGCTCGCGGATATGCAAGCTCCGTCCACTACTGCCTCCATTCAAAGCCTTTGAAGGTGTTACGAAGTGAATCTTGCAATATGGCAAATTCCGGACACTCAAACAAGCCGGGCTAGCCACTAGATCTGCATTTGCAATGAAGGCATTCCCTGATCTTAGGCTTCAAAGGATCCGCAGGCTGTCTAGGTCTTATGCTGAGTTCCTCGAGGCCCGGCTAACCAGAATATCTGTGCGAAATCCACGTGCTTGCGCCTCTCTGCGGAGGAGGCCTCTCAAACTACTGACGCACAAGATGCTCTATATAGGTTTCAAAACCATACAAACACTGTACAGATATCCGTGCGTCAGAGTGAAGTCACACGTGGATCCTTCAGTAAAAATTCACAGGTACAGATGGGCATTGACGCAAGGCGCAGACGGCAGAGTCCACATAAGAAAAACAAAAAAGAGACATCAGGCCGAATACATGGGACCTCGTCAATAGATCTGTAGAAAGACTTCGCCCCAGCTCCTTTTTTCTCACTCATGTGGAGCACCTCCGACCTGTTGCCAAAACACTCATGGGTAAACCGACGCATCTGTCACATTGTTGACCGTGACGGCACCAAAAAGGCACTGCAAATCCATAACCGCTATAAATGTGACTCCAGCTTCTCAATTCGCAGTTGCAGGTGAGTACTAGGGACTGAGCTAAAGAACTATGGACCGTCAACACCCATAGCTAATAAGGACCCCCAGTCCTTGAAGGTTAGTGGAGATGCATAACAAGGTGTCGCCCCTCAATAGCCCGGAGTAGATATGCACTGCAGCCCAGTGGAGCTCCAGCCCTGCATTCCAAGGTAAACGAGAAAAGAACGCACGCCGGAGGGAACCCCTGTTCCTATTTGATGCAGCTTAAGACAGCCCCCCACAACGCGTCTGCCTCTATTGTGGAGATTAATCCTACAATCCGGAACGCAAAGGTGTTCTGCATCCTCTTAGATGAGCGGATATATTTCTGAATGGGTTGGTCAGAAAAATTCATAGCCCCGTAAGAAGAGAATAACTTTAGGGAGGCAGGCATAGCATCTTCTAAATAACGGATATTTTGCACTGACAACCCCGCCATCCTTAATTTGCAGTAAACTGTATAGCAGAGAACCCGAGGTAGAAAAGTACGGGCACCGGGGATCGAACCCGGGATCTTCTGCGTGTTAGGCAGACGTCATAGCCACTAGACCATGCCCGCGCACCCCGGCCACCGAAGCTTATCAATACGCATTAGATCCAAATGCTATTTCGATAAACCTGCCACTGCCACCTTGAAAGGATACGCATGGCCGCGAAACATCAGAGGAGAGAGACGCTGTTCGTTGCAAGGTTCTGTCCATGGAGCAAAGTAACAGAAGGTGCGATGGGATGCTCCCACTGCACTCGATTGGTCCAGCCCGAGGAAGGCCTGAAAAACAAAGTCAAATCTACAGGCGAATAGTGTAGCTACAGCTAGCTAGAGAACGTTGAACCACCAAGAACCCGGGTAAGGAAATGCTTGGGACCGACAACCAGCGGAAGAAGACACTGCCGATCTGTATCCCGCCTCGGAAGAGAGCCTCAAAGCATTCCTGAGAGCCTAAAAGGTTGAAATATTACACCCAGCACGCCTAAAATAGCTTTTAGGGTGTTCTTCTGTTGAAATAACTAATTAGGAAACCACCAACCAAGAACAACACCCCTGTCCCCCACACGAGCCTCCTCCAGTTTCCAGTCTTGTTTTTGGCCAAAAAGGACTTATCGTTATTGAAAACTGCATCTCACTGTGGAGGCTAGCATCTTCGTGCTTGCCTCGCTGCTGAATTCATGCGAAGGGCCCGATACTCTCTTCGGGCTCTCTACCTTCTGTTGCTCTGTCGACTGTAGCCGCACAGCCCGCCATTACGTGCGCTTCAGCACCAGAATGTGTTCTTCAGTGACCAAATAGGCGCACTCCAGAGCATATTTACAGCACAGGGATCCTCTCCGTGTGCGAATTGCACAGGGGCCCCCTCAGGAAAGAGGGCTCTGGCCCCAGTGTATTGACAAGCAACAGGGCAATCCTTTCTACTCCTGCAACGGCAAAGAGGAACGAGAGGAGTGTCTCGCTCGAAGATATACCCTTGAGGGTCTCCCCACATGAACCCCGCATGCGGGCAGTCTCCCCCGCTCCTCTCCCACGCATCCACAAACGCTGCAGAAGCCACCCGTGATCCGTCGCCTTCTCCGGTGTTCGCTGTGAGGCCTTAAAAATGAGCCTTTTGCTGCCAGACAAAGTGCTGGACGACAGCGAAGTTACAGCGGCTGGTCTCCGGTTCTACTATGGTGAGGTATAAATAGAGGCCGTGAACTTTGGTGCTTCAGAAAGCCGCCTGTTTTCGCACTGCACGTGTGGAGAAAATCTTACCCGTTGCGCCTTCTTGTACAGGGTGTTTGACTCTCAAAGTGTGCATCCGTATGGCTATTTCTCCACCTCTGCGCCGTGGCTTTCCCCCCTCACCAGCTGTCACAAGGGTTTGACGCTTCCCGCGAATCTTGAATGTTTTGCGTTGCTGGTGCCTGCAGAGAACTTGTATCCGTTTGAGGAGCTTCAGCGTTGGCTGAGCTACCGCAACTCCCCCTCGGGTGCATCTACAACGCTGAATGATCCCCAGTTTTTAGCGAAGCGAGAATTCTGTTTGACATGCAAAAGAAATGACGCGAAGGATGAAGAGTTCTTCATGCGATGGCAGGTCCGTAAAGGCAAGAGGTTTGTGAGATAGCTCTCCCATCGTCTCTACTGCATGCATCCAATATTCAGCTCGTTGCTGGACCGCTATTTTTGCTTCTCTTTGAGACTTGCTGTCTCCCTCTTTCCGCCATTTTTCCATCACCCTCGTTGTGTGCTTCCTTCAGAGCCACTCCTTCCCCTTGCTGCACACAGCCCTTCTCTGGGCATAGCGCCCCTCTGTCCATCCCTCCCTTTACGCAGCATCGAGGCCTCCCCATTCTGCCTTGGCGCTTGCATGTGAACAATATGATGTCGTCGCGCAGTCTTTCTCCTCCCTCTGCGCGCTCAAGGACCGGTTGCTCTCGATGAATGAACTGTCTTGCCACAAGTTTGATATTGGCGCAGTATATACACTGCCCATTTCCCAAAAGGACACGCATGGCCCTCTCTTCAAGGCGCAGCAAAAAGAACTCGTCTTTGATATTGATATGAACGACTATGACGATGTCAGGACCTGTTGTCGTGATAAACGAGTGTGCAGCAAATGCTGGTAGGCGGTCACTTGCAAAGTACATAGGATCCCTCATCCTCTCTCTGTGTCTGTATATATGTGTATCATCTGGGCGTGTCTATGCACATATATACATATGTATATATATGTGTCTATTCTGCTTTCCCTCTCGCTTCTGCTCCTGGTGACTGCGTATATACCTGCCTCTCTCTGTCCTTCTGCCACACGCTCATTTTGATTTCCTTTTGCGTTCAACTCCTTCAGGCGCTCCCGCCATCCCTCTAGCGCCCACACTTTGTGCATTAATGTTTGGAGGCATGCTATGTACCGTGCACTGTATATATGTGTGTGTATGGGTATACGTCTCTAACACATGGGTTGTCTTCGTATGCGCGAGTCTTGATTTTTATGCCTTCGACGGCATTTTTTCTCAATAGCTTACCTAGCTTGTCGTCTCTGGTTGTTTGCGCCTCCCCGTCTTTCTGCGCTCTCTTCCCCTGAGTCTTTCTATCCTTCTTGCTCCTTTGCATCCTCTCTTGGGGATGTCGTGCTGCCTTCAGGCGGTTCATTGCAGTTGCCGTCCGTTTGCTCGACGCGGCCTTGCGCGAGGATTTCGGATTCAAACACATTCTTTGGGTCTTTTCTGGACGAAGAGGAATTCATGCTTGGGTAAACTTTTGTCGCGTGTTTGACGCCGTTGCAGTCTCTGCCGCCTGTGCTGCAACTGTCAGTGTGTCACAGTCTCGCTTGCAGAAGCTCTTGTTCTCCCTCCGATCGCCACTCTTTCTTCGAGTTCTTACCATCGCCGCTTCTTTTTTATCGTGCATAACATTGCCGCTTTTCCCGTGGCAGATCGCTTGAAATAAACTCCCGCTGCCGTATGCTGTCTGCTGACTAAGGCACCCCGAGAAGCCTCCTTTTTTTGCTCGGGATGCTCTGGTTTGCATCTGGTGTAGATGGGGTGTCTTGACCTCGATTGCTGCTGCGGCTGCTACGCCTTAGATATGCGACACGGATGCCCGTTTGATGCCAAACGAGAATCGCGGTCAGCTCGCCGAGTATCTCAATCTCTTGACTGTAAATCTTAGCCCGAAAGCCTCTTAGACCGGCCCTGTATCCAGAGCGCAAAGGTTCCCCATCGTACATAGAAAGCTATTGCCAGTTTCTACCACACACAACCCGTCCAGCAGCCTTGGTATTCGCGTACGGCAAAGGACGCAAACTTGGCTTTCTGTGCTCAGGGTTCAGATCAGCAGGCTAAGAAGATTAGCCTTTGGGGGAAAACACAGCACCCATCCGTCGAGTGCGTCTGCTCGTCTTGCTGTTGCCGCTGCGGCTTCTTGAGACGGCGTTGCTGGAGGGGCTGATGTGTCTGTTGTGTTACGGTGCTTGTCTCGCCTGGTTGTTTCCCCGCTGCTGCAGGCGCGCGTTTAGGATTGCATATGCAGAGTTTCAGCGATTGCTGCTCGAGCAGGACTTCTTTTTCTCTGGAGGCAACACCGCGCAGGCAGAGAAACTGCTCGATTACCTCCCTGACGATACTAGCAGCAGTGCCAGTGGTCTTTCCACCCGCGGATTCAACGCTCAAGCTAGGGCCCGAGGGGAAGCAGCAGCTTCTGACTTGAAGCAGCGAATTACTGCCTTGATCCAGGAAATCAAAGCCGAAGGAGGAGCACCAAATGGGAAAGCCAGCAAGAGCAGCAAACTTTTCGAACGGATCTGCAAATTGGCAAACTGCCAAACGCCTTCTGCTTATGCTGCTGCGACTGCCGAAAATGCAGCAGCAGCCTTAAAAGAGATGGAAGGGATTCCCAATTTCATCAAGGAAATCGTGCTGGCCTTTTCTTACCCCAGGCTTGACATTAACGTCAGGTAAATCAATATCCATCCAGAGGAAGCTTAGCAAGCCGCCGTCGCTAGAGCGTGCTGAGAAGGCTAACAAAAAGCCACGGCGTTGCCATCCCTATGCCCCGATTCAGATGCGTGCCTTCCTAGTCTTAGAACTAAGAGCACCCTATTTAGCCGTCGCAAAAGCTCTTGCGCGATGCATTTTCATGAGGCTTTGGGCTTCGCTGATGTGGCCTGCAGTTTAGGATTTGCTGGTGCAATTGCTGCAGCAAGGATATTGGCCATCTTCTGAAAGCGCCTTTCTGCATACACCAAGGCACGGGTAAGCTCCAAATGAGTCTAGAATTTGTTCTTGAAGCTTACAGTGTAAGGATGGGGGGCGCGCGATAGCGCTCGCTCCTGCGGATGCCAACCTGCTGCTGCAGCTGCGCGCGCATAGCAATCCTGCGAGTGCTACTCTTCGCAGGTCGTGTATGCGTTCCGATCGATGTGTCTGATCCGGAAGATTTCGACCCTCAGCGGGTTCCAACACTCAGTAAATCGTCCCAGATGCAAATATACACCCGCCTGCGTAGCCCTTCTAATCACGAGACTGTAGTGATTCTTCTTCCGCAGCGCCACGTGACCTTCCCTAATTGAGCAGCCACACGACACGCACAGCCTTCACCAAAGCCCTAGCCGCCACTACACCTCGTCGGAGCCTTCACAAACAAACAATGCAAAGCAGCCCGTGTACTCGGCAATTTTTGCCTCTCTCTTCTTGTGCTGCTCGCAGGTTATTTGCGTCGTCAGTTTGATGACGCTTCCCTCAACGCCCGTCCTCCCAAAGAGAGAACATCCCTTTTCCCCTTTGTCAATTTTTTCAACAGGACATTTCTTGCTCCCTTGGAGCAAACCTGCGTACAGGAGATTAAGTGTGAGTCAGGCTTACCACAGAGCCCTCCCTGTTCACAACGCACAAGCCTACACCAGCGGTTCCTTACCTCTCTTCCTCAGTCACAAAGCCTACGCTGCAAAGGACGATTCTTTGGCTGTGGTCTACAACACCGTAGCAAAAGCACTGAAAGCTAAGACCCTTGGGAAACCTTTCTCTTGCAACTGCGCAGCTTTAGGCGCAAGCCAGCATATTATATCCAGAACTCCAGGATCACATCAAATTGACGAGTGTTTGCTTGAATTTGGCTTGTTCAGTCCTCCGAGAAAGCCTCGAGGGATACATGACCTCGCTAAAGGTTGAAAGCGGATTCTAGTATTCCAGCAACTCACAGCGCTACACCAGAAACAGTGGGCGCGGCACAAGGGACATGGCAGTGCCAGCAGCACTGACATAAAGGCTTGAGACTCAATGCGCTACAGAATCGGTGCGCCAAGAGTTGCCACTCCAGCAGTGGCAATAACGCTGCTTGCGCCCGACCGAATTATCCCCTTTATTGGTTTTCTCTAGGCAAACTATGTTTCAGCATTGCATTGAAGCTTAGCCCTGATAGCCCTGTTCAGATCTTCTCAACAAATTTGCACACTGCATAACGATGGGCCTACAAGAGGTTTATGTTCTTGGGTTCCACATGGAAGTATACACCCAAAGGCTAGATGTTTTAGGTGCTTTATGGCGGCAAATGTTCCTCAACGACATTATTTTGTACCAGTTAAAGCAGTGAGGATAGGTAGTACATACATTTGGCTAGGGCTGTACTACGACGAGCTATAAGTGTTTACTGTACTTGCTGTAGTACTGCAGTATCCAGCATTTTGAGACAGGCTAGAAACTTCAAGGTCAGGCGCATTTAAGCTCGTCATAGGAGAATATTTCGGCAACGTGAAAAAGCATCAGAGTGCCTATGCGTTCACAGTAAGATGCGTCATGAGTGAAGGGGGGGACGGTTCGTGTGGAGCGCATCACAGTACCGTAGTTTCGGTAATAAAGCTTACTCGTCTTATCGAAATAACACTCGATAACTTTGTGTTAGGTACTGTATTTACTTTGATGTTAAGTATGCTTCTAAAAGAGCTCCACCATCCACTGCTCTCACCCCTCCCTGCTCCGGAATATGGGAAGAGGGAAAACTAGGACACGCGTAGCTGCACGCTCACATTCCCCTCACGTAGAGCTAGTTGCACATAGCTGCTAGCCTGCTTGCGCGAAACATTGATTCCTGTTATATTGACCTATATGCACTGAGCAATAAACAAGATGTGAGAAGAAACAAACCAGATAGTCAAATTTTGGGATTTTTGATGAAGCATGCCTAGAGTAATAGAACCACTTGGGAAATTCAAACCAAATGGCCAATTTCGTACTAATTTTTGAATGAGTCTAGCTAGCGTAGTAGAAGATGTCTGAGTGTAGCTTTGCCCGCTAGAGTGGTTGATACACGCCCTCCTGATCCTCGCAACCAGCGGCTAGGGAACTTACAGTTGTGTCCCAGGCTCACTGTCGAAGCGATTGAAGGATCTATGATTGTATGCGCTTCTTGATGCACATTCTAATATGTTGTTCTTGGATGTTAACGGCGTCTAAGCCCACGAGGCAACTTCTGTGTATGGCAGTTTCCCCAAGCATCTGCTAATGCATGGTAATGCCCGAAAAAAGGATCATTGACCTTGATTTCCCGCTTCCAAAAGATGATGTTTTGGGTTTACTCGGCTTTGGTCCACGGATAACGGTGAAAGCTCCTGCTCACTGCACTTGTTGGGCAGCAAAAACTGACCCATCGAACTACGACTCCATTATGCTCTGCCATGTACCGCAATTCTGTAAAAGCTACATGCACTAGTTTTCGATGAAAATACTTTTTGATTTCGTTTTCCCGCCATACACGTACATGTTGCCCGGTAATTTACTTGCAGTTCATGGGTCTTTGGGGCTGCAAGGGAGAATCCACGAGCACGAAGGTTATGCTTCCCACTAAATTTTTCAAGAGAATGAACTTTTTTTACTTTTGTCTATTTTGTTCCGTCGGTTTGCAAAGCTGATGTTGGCAGGCGCCAATAAGCGCGCCGCGTCTCTGGAACGAACACACAGGCAGCTTACGGGTACAAAGGATTCGATCCATTGATGAAACAAGCATGGATCAATATGATGCAAAAGGTATATCTCCTTTTCTCTTGTAAAACAACCAAAAGATGAGACGGGCGACGCATTGTTACATCCACGTCTTGTGGAAGATTTATGAGGGGTAGCGAGAGAAAACAGGGTAATAGGATGATATCGAAAGTGCAAAAAATGCAGGGCTGAAATGCACATAATTGTGCACACCTTATGCAGCCCGCGATGTTTGTCTTAGCAATTGATTTTGATCTCGTCCGATGAAGGTGAGACCGAGCAGTGAGCGGGCATGGTCTAGTGGCTATGACGTCTGCCTAACACGCAGAAGATCCCGGGTTCGATCCCCGGTGCCCGTACTCTCTTGTGAGGTGTTGTTTCGTGTTGCAAAAGGCCTTACATATGTGTGTGGTTTGTCAAACATTCTCATATACACACGGGTAAACAGTTGTCAGCAGCAGCGAAGCAACACTCGTTTCAGCGTACCAGCTCGTACAAACCCTTTTAATGCAGTATGGCGAAGCTCGCTCGCAACTAATATAGCGGCTACTGTGCAAAGTTCCTGAAGAGCTTTGGGTTGTTCGGTATGTGCGCAGCCAGCGGGGGAAATGTGGATGGAGGGCACCGTCGGGGTCTTCCAGGGCTCATTCGATCAGCAATGCTACTATCATTGTTCGCTGGTGTCTTCCTCTATGTGGTAGCTACACTAACAGGTGTGAATCATATCCGCAAAACCTTCGTTGTGCACGGTTGGCCAAACCTGTTACTGTATCTCAGCCAATAGTTTTTCCTTTAAGGGCGAACCACGACAGCCCTCACACCGCGTGCTGCTGCTTCTGCTAGTACAGTTACCTTCATTGTTCCCTCATGCGCTATTGCCGCAACGGCTGCTTGTTGTACTTTGCCTTCTGCTGCTGTGATGGGCTTCCTGTTCGTATTTTGCTTGGCTGGTGCTTGCTGGTAGGTTGCACTTGTAGTATTTGCTGTTGTTGCTGCAGCGTCCATCCTCCGCATCAAGAACACATCTTCAACTTCTGCGTTTTCAAACATCAGCAATTCAGCACTCGACTTAATTCCGGGTGTTTGCTGCACTATCTTTACCTACTTACGGTTGTCTCATGCTCTTTCCTAAAGGACTTGAAGCGCGGGCTGTAGTTGCAGTAATAACAGTAGCAGTCGATACACTACTTGCACTAATAGTAAAAAAGAGCTTGCGCTTGATTGCACTGCTGCTGTGGCCCCTTTAGCTGCGCCACTTGTCCCGGAGTTACAAGTCGATTCTGCAGGCTATGCAGGTTGTGTTGTTGTTCGGTCCACCGATAAACTTGTTGTTGTACTTGCTACTGACAGTGCAGCTGCTGTACCTGCCGCTCCTGCTGCAGGTATAGCCTTCCTGCATTCAATGCAAATATTTGAACAGCTGGGCGAAACAAAAAAGTGGAAGGTGTCCCTGTCTCCTCTTTCAATGGAATCAAGAGAGGGCGATGAAACAGCATATAGATTAGTTATTCATGATGACCTCTCTCCACTGCCTAGCAGAGAGAGCAGCAACAGTAGCGGGACCTGCAAACGAAAAACGGCGGAAAAGCCCACCAACAGATACGTACCTTCGAATGCACGAAATTCTACACTTGTTATGATTGGAAATATGTTTGAGCAGCAGATGCAGAGGCGTGTGTCTCGCCGCACGGCATCAGCAGCTGAGACACTTGCTGGAGGAGACGACGCGGCACTCCTGTCAGCACGGAATGCCCTCCCTACCCTGGAAGTTGACAGCTTTACCTTAGAGGCTTCCCAGAATCTTCCTATCCCCACGCAGTTCTCTTGGCTCTTCAAGTTCCGCGATGGAAACCACTGCCTTCTTTTAAATACACGTAAAATACTCGGCTGGCTCTGCACAAGCACATGCTTTTACTGCTGCTGCAGCTATTAGTTAGAGCTGTTGTCATACTTGTTCTTTTTGGTTTGTCTCTTTCTCGTTCATCTCTCGCTTCATTTCAAAGGCAGTGACTGCTTTGTTCGTTTGCCTCCCACCCCTATGTTTTTTCTTGTGGGCTATGTCTATCCTCGTTGTACCCCTACAGACTTCTTGTGGGACATCCATTTTCTGCTCATATTCGTGTTTTTCTCGCACATCGATATATGTTGTTACTGGTAACCAGCCGTTTGCTCCCTGTGATTGTGATTGTCTTTTTGCCTGCCACCACTTGGCGGTTTTTGTACCTGTGCATAATTAAGCTAGGCTCCATCCTCCATCTACTGCTTGCACATTTATTTCACTAAGCATGGCTTTTGCGTCTCTTTGCGGTTTTCTCTCCTCTCAAAAATCAAAGCGCACAGCTTTCTAAATCTGTTTTTCTGAAGTTAAGTTTGGTTGCGCCCTCTTGCCTACTATTTTCCCCTTTATTTGCACAGCCCATTACGACGTTTCTGAAGTTGTGTGCGGTTGTTCCAGTGTACAGCGCATTCAGCGACAAGGCAAACAATGCAACGCTCTTCCTCACTTCTTCTAAGGAGGATTTTCACCGCCTTGCTGCCATTCTTAATCAGGGAGGTTTCGTTGTAAACAAGTAGAGGAGCCTTTCACGGTCCTGATGACGACCCCATCAGGAGATTCAGGACCAAAACGACACCCTCTAGAACTTTCTGTAGTCTCTCGAGAGGGGAATTTAGCGCTTTTACTAAGAAACACTTTATGCCTTTAATAACAGACCAATGGCAGCCGTCACGCTTTAGTCCATAAGTTGCCCTGGATTAAAGAAGGGATTGCACCAGGAGTGGAATTCGATCCAACAGGCCTTGCTGAGAAAATGTGATGGAGAACAATCAGAATCATGCGAATTTGCTCTGCTACAATTGCATTTTAGAGAACTGGATATCGAGCTCCCTGAATCAGGCTACGGTCTTCACTGAAGTCTGTAGCAGACCGTGTGGTATTTGTAGAAGAAAAAGACATTATGTCCTTATTTTCATTGCCTGAGTCTCTGCCCCTTCGCTTTATTCCTTGCTTTTTTTGCCATTTTCTGTGATGCATCTATACCGTACCCTTGTGTTGAATAGTCGGTCTCTCGTTTTTGGCTGCTCGCCATTCTTTGATTGCTAGTTCCTGCTTCTCTTTGTCTGGCAGTTCCCAGGCTGCTAAACCAAGCTGCATGCTTTTGCTTACTCAGATCATTTACATCGTCCTGTATTCCTGATAGTGCGTTTATTGTGAGTCTGGCTGCAGCCGGATTGTTGGCTTTCCCTATTGTTTCTGCTAGTCTGCTTCAATGGGCTCCACTTCGGCTTGTATTACTCCTGTAGTTTGTCAGAGAACTTCTCCATCACTTCTGTTCCTAACTCTTCCCCCTTCGCCCCTATTCGCCTGTTGCCTGCACCAAAAAAAGCTTCTGATGGGGCCGATATACAGAGATTATGTATATCTATCTACTTATCTTCCTGCCTAATACCTTGTGTTGTCGTCTAACTAGTGTTCTTGTTGGCTAGTATACCCTTTTCATTTTTATCCACACCATATGTAGCCTAATAACTCCAACTGTCAGCCTCTATTTGCCTTTTTTTTCTTGCCTGAAATTTGTCTTCGAATCTCTCCGTTCCATCTACTGAGAGGCAGTGAGGCTTTTCTTCCTCTCAGTTTTTGTTAGTTCATCAAATTAACGCTGCTGATAACCTGAAGTGGCCGCTCCAAAAGCGAAACAACGCCATGATGTTCCTCCGCTTCGATGCACGAGCACGCAATACAAGTTACAAGTCTTGTAGGTAGAAGGCTCAGCCGGACAATGTGAAGTAGCAAAGATATCATGGAACGAGCGAGAACGCGGCCAATTAAGTCTCCGCGCACGTAATAAAGTTACCTTACCTGTGCTATGTAGTAACTTTACGCCTTAGAGGTCGTCCTATTGTTGGATTAGGTGCTATGACAGGGGTGATATGCCCTCTCTGTTGGTCCAAAACTTAAAAAGGCCAAACCTTTCATAGCTGGTACTTACATCTTGCTTACAGGCACGCGCTTCATGAGTCCTTCGGGGCCAAATGTATAATGCCTTCAGTACGATGGGGCGTCCTGCAGAACCCAGACTGTGAACTGAATTGAGGCTCGACGGTAACATCAAATAAAGTCTGATACAATACATCTGCAAAATGAGAGGTGCGTTAGCATCTTGAAGACAATGAGCAACGCAATACAGTGTGGGCAGTGCCAATGGAGAATGGTTGAGTGATGAAAGTTTCTTTCCATCGCTCATTTTGGCAGTGCTTTAGGCAAGAAACATTTACAAGATTCCCCATATGATATATAAATGCCTTCCAGACGCCCTGTGTCTTGGCAGATGCGACAGATACTCGTATTCGATAAGAATAAGGCAGCGCGTTTCTAGGACACTTGAGTTTGAACCGCGGAGTGGTCTGTACCCGCAAAAGTGAGTAGGAACAGGTGGCCAAAAGCAAACTTCAAGTCTCTGGATTAAGGTAAATCAAACGGAGAAAACGTCGAAGGTAGCAACAACTAGAAATATATTGCACATTTATGAACGCCTCCTCCCAGTAGGCCACTTTGCAGAGCCAATGTGTCAGGACTGCGTAGAGATGCACATCCACGAGGTTGCATGGGCAGAAGCGTGGTGTAGAGCGACTACCAGACTTTTTCAGGGCAAGTGATACTCCTGGTCCGGTTTTTTGTTGGCTGTAGCAAATACTCGGCTAGTGAGGAATAAGGAGGGATAACAATTGCATTCAGACTGATTATGGCTATTAGCGGCTTTAGATATTTGTTCGAGGTACGCTTTGCCCTACGTGGACCCATTTTAGGGCTTTTTAAAAGATGTATCACTCTATTTCAGTCGTAGTTTTTGTGGCCCGACTTTCTGTACCAAATGAACCGAAAGGTAGAGAGCTACTAATCAACCCAAAGGCCTTCAAATAAGCATGCAATTTCGCGGTCTCTAAGAAAGCAATCTACACGAGCACAGCGATTTGCATTCAAAAAAATGTGTAAATGCTTTGCGCTCCAGCGAAGCATCAAAGCCAGGCTTCTCTCTTAACAGGATTATCTTCGTGTTGAATGATCTAGGATATATTAAGATTCGTTGACTCAGTAACCTGACGGGGTTGAGGGTACAAGTGTCGTGAGATGGTTGAAGATCCGAGCCATGCCAAATTTGTACACGAATTCCTTCCAGCTGTTGTTTTCTTTTTACTTTGCACATGCGCGTTGATGCTGTCCATGCTGTAATACTAGGTAGCACCCCGAACATTGAAAGACAGCTTGTACGAACCGTTGCTCTTTGCGACTTCCTAGGTGAACTACTCCCTCACGAAATCCCGTGAATATTCCACAATATCCAAGACAGGGTTCAAAACCCTTTAGATGAATACTGCCTAAGTTGCTACATTTCAAGAATAACAGCTGGAAAAATTGGCTAGCACTAAGGTAATTTTCTTTGTGTAAGTGGACCCGTGCATGCCTCAATGTTCACACGTTTACTCTGCCTTTAGACTCCTGTGGACCTCGCCTACCTAACATTACCTCTAAATCTTTCGATTGCCCTTCGGATATACCTGCAGCTATTGCTTTGCAAGAAACGAGCAAACGGAGAAAAGAAACGAAAGTGGATACACCAGTACTGCTTCACAACTGCAAAGAAACAGGCAGCTTTCTCCCCGCCTCCTTCGCAATCTCATATATACTAGAATTTATAATCAGCTGTAAGGCAGCTGGGTGGTATGCATTTTAGTCAGGTGTACATTAGAGACCTCGAACAGGGGCATCAACGCACACGAAACGCATCCACAGGTGTGCGCAGAACTAGTTCTTTGCAAACAGAAAAACAGATTGGCGGGTTGCAGTTAAAATTGACTAATTGCTTAACGCGCTGCAGAAGGCTAGTAGGGAACGAAGCTTGCAGGCCTTTGGTGCCGAGAATCCCCCCTACCTACTTCGGGTCTATTGGACGCTGGCTGAAGTGAATCTACGGGTCGCCGTCCCCTTGTGATGCCAATATCCCAATTCTCTGATCTTCATAGTTTGTTTTGAAACCTTCAAGGACGTTGTGCTTTTAAATGTGGTTTATGGTGCTTATAGACGACTGAGCGCCACGTTGCCTTGATCCAAGGAGGGCCGAAGGTCACTCTGCTCCCCCTCAGAGAGACAGACTGACAGCTTTTAGTCACGAGTTACTGGTATTGTTATTCATGTTTCCAAGTTCATAAAGCCTTGCTTCCTTAGAATATTTGCTACAAAGAGCCTGAAACGCCCGAGGATCGGGTAAACAGCACCTGGCTCGATAGGCTGTTGGGTTACATCTGCCTGACTATCGGGGGAGCAGCAAGAGGGAGAACTATCTTCTTGTTATGGGAGAAAAGAAGGTTTCCTTTTACTCCAGGAGCAGGGAAATCAAGACGCTAGGGGTCAACAACAACGCATGCTTCAGGCCCCCTTGTTCACTTGGGCGCTGTGTCCAATACATACAGCAGCAAGGAAGGTCTCTAAGGGCCGCCAGGAACAGCGGTCCTGAGGACTGAAAAGGAGATGCTGGGGAAAGGCTTGGGTAGCCTTAAAGCAGCCAACCAGTGGACATGGCGTATCTTTATCTTGAGGCGCAAATGTGTGATCTGGTTTCTTGTTTTTCTTTCAGTGGTTCTGCTCTTAGTAGGATGCATCTCCATGGTCTTGCAGCTTCGCTGGGGCCAGCGCCACATGCTTTTTCTGCGACTCTCTTCCCCAGTCTCTCCGCTGCAAGTTGACCATCCTTCGAACGATGCCGCGTCCTTCCAAGACGTTTCTTCTTACCGTCGGCAAAATACGACACAACCCGTTGCAGCAGACCCTGCACCCACCAGCCTCAGAAAATCACAACGGTTTTTTCGGGCAGCCACAGCAGCGGCCGCGCAAGGGGGTGTCGTGTTGCAATGGGGGGACAGCACAATTCGCCTCCTGCGGGGAGCTGGGGTCAGGGAAGTGTTCTTCTTGTTCCATGATCCTTCTGCGAGACCCCATGCACCGAAAAGTACTCCTGATGGCGCACAAGAGGGGTTGTCTTCGTCGCAAGAACCGAGAGATCCCGTTGAAGTCTTTAAACAGCTTGCACAAGAAGACCGGCAGGAACAGCTGCAGCAGCAGCTGCCTTTTGTTGCAGTGCCACGCCAGGAGATGCACAGACTGTCGTTCTTCCTCCCTGAATCCGCGGAAAAAATGCTACCGCTTGCAATGGTTGTACGCCTAGACAGTGGGTGGACCAAATTTCAGGCTCCACCACACGCTGCATTCAGCCTGACCGCGATGCGAGACTTCCTGTCTTCTTACAGAACGGGTAAGCACATAAATACCCAAGAGGAGATTCGCACCTGTGACTCTTTTTCAGCACGTACAATAAAATTCGGTCGGCAACAGCAAAATTGTTGCCGCAATACGATACCAAAGCGCGAACAACATCCCACATGCCCTCCTGCGCCTTGTGCTCCACCCTTAGGATATATCTAGAGCTCTTATCCCTAAAAGGTGGTTTGCACAAAGCATAGCTGACAGTGTGTGAATTCTTCCAGCTGGTGCTTGTTGCCCTGCCGTTCGTAGGCCGTCTGTTTCTCAATTCTTTCTAGAAGGGGAATCTCGTGTTGTGGATATGTTTTAATCCTGTCTCTTTGCATATGATCTGCTACAAAAGTAAGATTGAAAGTATTTTGTTCACTGCTGCTCCACTAGTTCACCTCATTTAAAAAAGTTCCGACGCACGCTTTCTACTTCGTAGGCGCTCTCGCACCCCTCCTACGCACCGAAACATTGTCATCCTCTGTAGAAGGTGGAGAAACAGTCAGAGCCCTTGTGGCATCCAACTTCTCTCGACTTGTTTTGGAGCAAACGAACTACGACGCCCTGGTATTCCTGTATGCAAACTGGTAAGCCATATTCACTGCGCAAAGAGAAGCAACAGTAGAGAAGTCATACTTGCAGCATGAGCAGATTAAGCAGCTGACATACTCATACTTACGTTAGATAATGCGTATGCCTCCCAAATTTCCCAATTTGCATTTGTGCAGCTATGGGCGTACAAGTACATAAATATGATCTTTAGTTTACCCATTATTTGCATATATATTGCAGCTAACACTAAATTTGTATTGAAAGACGTATGATCGGTATCATAGTTACCCAGTACAAGAAGCGAGTGCACCGAGGTAGATTGCTTGTAGAATTGATTCAAAAGTCTAGTATTTGGATTTGCCAGCTGCAGTGGTTCCATCACCAGCTCGCGCACTACTCAAAAAGGTCAAATTACACTTGCAGCTGTATGAAATAGACAGTGTCTACCGATATGCATGTCGAGTGTAAATATAGCCGAAATACTTTTGCTTCCAGGTGTGGCCACTGCCGGCGCTTCCAAACGTCGTTGTTAAAGCTAGCACAACGTTTTCGGAGAGTATCCTCGATCGCTTTCTTTAAATTAGACGTTTCAAGGAACGGTAAGATAACCGGGGAAGACAGAGGGTGTGTACCGGAGAGACCTTTGCAGAAAAGGCCCTTTTTTCCTAGAGGCGAAAATGGACAGGGATTAAGTTTTCTATGATGAGCCAGCCGTCGAGAGGAGGGATAAGAGGAGTTTGCATGATAATGATTCTTAAAGGGACCACTCACGCGGATGGACTTTATACAATGTGTGTTTAGTACAAGGGTTGACGCGAGCATTTTTATGTGAATGAACAGATGTGCCTGTTCCTGGACTACGCGTTGAGAGGGTGCCTCACGTCGTCTTCTTTACCAGAGACCCCGAACAGCAGCCAAAGGGCTCAGTACCGCTGTCTGCCTCCAAGGCTGTGGAGGCGTCTCGCAATGCCGCTGCTGCCGCCGGAGCAGCAGCAGAAGAATCAGGGAATCTTGATGACAACACCTGGCACGTTGGTGAAGGACTGAAGCGCAAAAAGATCTTCACCTTCTCCCACAGCGAGCCTGATGTACTGAAATACGGAGAGGCCTTTCTGCTGGAGCACGCTGCATGCAAAACCATAGACTTGAACGCAGGCGTAGACTGCGAAACGAACCATTCAGAAGATCTTTAAGCAATTTAATCAAAGGCATTCGGGTCCCGAGGCGCCCCGAGGTTACCAGAGTGCGCCGTAGCTGTCTAGGCTTTGAGGACCCCAACTCAGTCCGGCGTCGTGGCAGTTGTCCTGTTAGGAAATCGCGACTGCAGTGCAATGTGAAATCGATACAATATTTGTGCTGCATTCAGTGTACTGCTGAGTAATCGGGGTCTTCGGGTTTGAAGAGCTTGTGTGCATTCAGAACACCCAAGCAAAACAAGCATTTTCCAGGCTTGCCCAGCCTGTCGCTCACCTTGGCAAAAGCCATTAGAGCCTTTCCGGAGTCTATTTGAGGTTTTAAAGGAACATATACGGGCACATACGTTAGTAGCACGTCTAATAAGGGAACATTACCTCCGCTCATTGTGTCAGGAATCCCTGGGACCTTCGAAAAGTGCCGCGTAGGATTAGTTTTTACGCCTATGATAGTTATCGACCCGTGAGTTGTTTTGCTCTTAAGCTATATGTACTGCCGCACTGACGCTAAGGAAACCCAAGCATCTGCGAAACTCCTACAGGAGAGATGCCTACCGTAGACGGGCCTTGAGGGATTAAGTGAATATGTTACGTACAAAGGGCGCTTTGACGGCACCTTTTTCGCGTCTACGCATCTATGGCAGCAGTTCTCTCAGTGAATCCGCAGTACTTGGCCTGCCGCGGCGCGAAGATCGAATTCGTATAGCAACTTTTTTTGTTTGTGGAACCATGGTTGTTGACTTTACGGTTGGGGTCTGTATTTGCAGAGACACTTGCTGTTACATACATTTCAACGAATCTAGGCAGCCAGATGCAGATGACGCAAAAAAATGATAGAAAAACGCAGGATGAACATGTGCTTCAATCTAAAAACCAGAGTTTCCTCACGTCTTTTGCAGTCCAGGGGCCTTGCAGACTTGTGTTCTGCCTTCCTGGCACTTCGGCATAAGACACTAGGAACCATTCAAAATCGACGCAGTTGTTGCCGCAGCTGCCGCTTTTGCTACTGCTGCTCCCAAGTTGCTTTTTTGTGCACTTGCATTTGGAGTCCAAACTAGATGTTGTGATACAATAGGACGAAGGGCTGGTGTCTACCTTGACCTTGCTGCAGCAGCGGCAGGCGCCCTGAGGCTGCCTCTGTGCCTGCTGCAATTGCTGCTGGAGTTGCCTAGGCTGCCGCGGATCTGTACCAGTTTTCTGGTTGCTCCAGGAACCGAAAGGCCCACTTTCTCTTTCCTTGAACGAGCTGGTTTTGCAATTTGCAGCAGAAACAGAATTCTCGCGTCTGAGACGCTGCTCCGCACAATTGTTGCTACATGGAAGACGACAAGATCCGCAAGCTAGCTGCCGTTGTTGATGGTGGTGCACATGAAGCCGTAGGTCAGCAGATTGCTCTTTTAGCTCGCAGCATTTATTGTACAGGGCCTTGCGCTCCTGCAGTCGTCGGTAGCGCCCTTCATTAGGAGATATCAGTGCTTTCTGTGTCTGCGTCTGCTGCTGGAGAATTGGCTCCTGCTTCAAGGAAAGTGGCACCTGCAACTGTTGCCTAAGGGTCTCTAATTCCCGCTGCTGTTGCTGGTAGAGCTGTAAGTGTTCCTGTTGTTGGTGCTGCAGACCTTCGAGTTTCTGTGTAGACGTCAACAGTTCTTGCTGTAGCTTCTCCTTTTGCTGGTGTAGCAAATCTGCACGAGCCTTATGCATCTGCAGTTGCTGAACCTGTTGTTGCAGCATCTGGGCCTTGTCGTTAAGACGCTTCTGTAGTTCGTCGCGTTGCATTGTACACTGCAGTAAGTCTTCCTGTAACTGTTGCTGCTGTTTGTGGCTTTCAGCTGTATGATGAGTTTGCTGCTGTTGCAGAAGCAAAATCTGCTGCTCTTTGTTTTTTAGTTCTTCCTGCACTTGAGCATCTTTCTGCATGCTGCGGTCTAGCTCGGCCTGCAGCAGCTCCTGCTCGTGCTTTTGCTGCTGATATTGCTGTTGTTGCTGCTCATGCCAGTGGAGGAGCCTTTTTTGTTGCTCGTATTTCTCTTGTTGTTGCTCATGCTGCTGTTGTAGCTGCTTGTAGAGCTGCATATATTTTGACAGCTCTTCTTGTAGCTGCTGCTCACGCTGCCAAAGTTCTTCATGCAGGTGTGGGTGCTCGCCTTGAGACTGCCGCTGTTGTGCGTTTTTCTCATCATTTTGTTCTTCCCGCACACTCTCACATTTTTCCTCCGAAAAGCTTTGTTGTTTTTCAGCTTCTCGTTGCTGCTGCATCTCCTTGCCTTGATGCTCGATCCTCTGCTGCACAAGTTGACACCGTCGCGCCCTTCTGCATTGTTGTTGCTGCGGCGGTTCATCCGGTTCTGGCTTCTGCGCCTCCTGGTGTCCTGCATGGCCCTCTTGTTGCTGCTGCTGTGCAAGAATCTGTTTCTGCACCTCGTCGCGCTGGTGAGTGCCTTGAACCAGTTTGTTCTGCTGCTTCTGGTATTCCAGATCTTTTCTATCCTGATACCACTGCTGTTGCTGCTGTTTCAGATCTGCCTCCCTTAGCTGTAGCTCTAATTCGAGGTCTTTGCTGTGCTGCACGCTATTCTGAAGGTCTTCGCGCAACTGCTGTACAAGTTGCTGCTGGTTTTGTTGCAACTGCCGCTGCTGCATAAGAGTTCTTTCTTTAGCGCTCAAGTGGCTCCTCAGCTCTTCACACTGCTGCTCGCTCCGCTTCAGGTCATCACGTAGGTGCTTGCATTTCTCTTCCTCATGCCGTTGGTGCTGCAGCTGCTCTTCCTGCTGCAGCAGCTGTTCATCTTTTTCCGCGATCTGTTGCTTCAGCTCTTTATTTTGTTTTCCCATCCTGCTAAGATCTTCATACAACTGCTGCTGTTGCTTGTCGTGACACTGCTGTTGCTGGCGCATCTGCTCCTGTTGCTCGTTTTGGTATTTCAGGAGGTGTTTGGCTACCTCTCCACAGTGCTTCTGCAACAGCTGCTGGTGATGCTTGTGCTGCTCTACTGCTAATTGTAAATCTCTTCGAAGGCAGCGAATAACTTGCTGAAGCTCTTCGACACGGGCTTTGCGCTTATGAAGCATGGCGTTGCCCTGCTGTAGGCGCTGCTGCTGTTGTTGCTGCTGCTGCTTAGCGTGCTCGACCTGCCTCTCCAGCTGCTGCACCTGCCGCAGCAGCAACTCTGCCCGCTCATCTGCTGTCCTTTGAAAGGCCCGCATATCATTTAGCTCTAGCTGTAGGTTACGGCAGCTTTCACGCGCATCATTGCGCTGCTGCTCAAGCATGCTAGCTAAATCTAAAAGCTGCTGGGCAGCCTCCTGGTGATGCTTTTCCTGCCCTCTGTCTTCTAAGCCTAAACTATAAGATCCCCCTTCGGCGGTTTGATTAGAGGCAGCAAGAAATTCATCGGGCTCTCGCTCCTGCTGCTCTGGAGGATCCTGTGTTGCCTGCTCTAGTTTTAGCAACAGTTTCTGTAGAAACTCTTTCGCGCTTTTTTCCGGCTGCTCTTTTTTGTCATGACTGCATTCTAGTTCCCGCTGCTTCTGCGTCAGTTTGCGCTTCAGCAGCAGCTGCTGCTTCTGTTGCTCCTGCAACCGAGTCTTTTGAATACGCAGCTTCTGCTGAAGGTTCAGCAAGAGATCCCGGTGTGCTTCGAGCTTTTGCTGCTGTTGAAGGTGCTTCATCTGCATTAACTCCTCCTCCTTCACCAACTGCTGCTCTCTGACTTCTAATTCTTCACGCATACACTGCAGGCGCTCTTCAATTTCTTGCTGCTGCAGGTGCTGCCGCTGACGCAGCCGCTCCTCCTGCTGAAACAGCTCGACCTTCATTTGGGCCACACTGTCCCGTTCATTATTCAGCAAAAGCCGCTGCTGCTCTTGTTCTTCCTGCGCCTTTTGCTGCTGAATCTCAAAAAGCTGCTGCTGTTGCTGCAGCGCAACCTGTTGCTCGTAGAGCTCCTGTTGTTTCTGGCGTTGATGCTGCTTGTGCGTCTCGTGCTCCCGCTGGCATCGATCATAGTCATCGTTTAGCTCTTCGAAATCCTGGCGTAGCTGCTGCAGCCACAAAGGACGCTGCAAGTTCAGAAGCGACAAACTTAGTATCAAGCAAAGCACCTAGCTGTTCGAAGAAACGCTGAGGCGGCTGCAGCGGGGGAAGGGACAGCCCAGTGTACAAGCCGCGCCAGTAGATGTTGTTCCTTGAATCAGAGTATCTTACCTCTAGCTCGTGTGACTGCAGTAAAAGTTGCGTTTCCTTCTCCTGCAAGAGCAGCAGCAGTTCGGATGCCTCTGATGCTGCAGCGGCAGCAGCTACCTCGGCCTCCTCCCCCGAGTCTCTCGCTTCATCTTGTGCTGCTTGCTGCAGACAAGCAAGTCGCTGCTGTTCTAGCTCTAGCAGTTCCGTAGCGGCAGCGGCTGCTGCAGCGGCAGCAGCTGCAAAGCTCGGTGGGGGATCCCCGCCAGCAGTAGGCATTACGCCAAGGATACCATATCCATGCTGATGAGAGTCCTTCTGTGTACATGACACGTTTCATTACGCAGTCATGGTACGACCTTGGAGAATTCCTCAAGGTCACTCTTTTGCTGGAAATGCGCCCTAAAGAAGCCCGCTAGAGACTGCTGAAAGAGCTGCAGCGATGCGAAGCATAGGCCGCAGTCCCTCTGGATGCCTCGGCCGCTGCTGCTCAGAGCTATTTGATGCTGCTGCCTCATGAAATGCAGACACAGCTGCCATGAATATTCCGCACATGTGCTGTGTCTTCTGTTTGCCCGCAACAAGGTATCCTATTGCTACGGCTGCATCAGGACCATGTTCTAGAAGTGCTCAAAAGGTGGCAGGAGCGCCTAATGAGATGCCCGTATTGTGCAGATACAAGCAGTGGCTCGAATGCCGTGAGACTTTGGACATTGCATTTCTTGATCTTGTCTAGTGCTTTGTTGCCTTGTAGCGGCCACGCCGACTGGCATAGCGACAGCGAAAGGCAGCAGTACAGAAAGATTGGGGCGCTAGTGAAAGTTTTCGACTCTAAACAGATTATTTTAAGACATAAAATAGGCTGTTTGCAGGGGGTGAGTTGCCATCTTCCACTATCCAGAAGATCGAGGCACAACGACCGGTCCGTCCGGCGGGCCTCGCAGGCTGCGGCTACAATTACATTGCTGGAAATTGACTCTTATTACATTCTTTCTGTTATCGTCTTTAATTTTGCCACATTTTAAGATATAAGGTGTGTCCGCTTCATTTGGAGAGTAAGATATACCCACAAATGTGTTTAACGGCTAAGAGTCAACGCCGGTGTAGATGTTTGGCAAGACTGCAAGGTTGTTATGTTTCCCATGACAAAAAAGTAGGCATACTTATCTTTATTTGCGAATGATTGCACCCTTTCAATATCTCTGCTACATTTGTAGCAATGTAACAATATCGCCTGGAAAACCGCAGTTCAGGTGCATAGAACGTACACATGCATGTATGTATGTATGCATATACGCATGCGTAGCTTCACCTTCTTAGCACTCCGAGCATTGATAGCTAGCTGCGCATAGCATCCAGAACACATTCTCACAACATTGCTTCTTCTTGGATTGGGATAACTGTACTCCTCAGTAAAAAATCTGTACGAGCAGATAATTCAATTGCTGAATTTTTACTAGGCCTCGCTTCAATACGAGTAGAAGGTGCCTACGTGTGTTTTGGCCCGTTACATGGTTCAGCGTTTCACCTCGCATGCGCCAAATGTTGCAAGGCAGCGTTGGCATGCTCTACATAAGAAAGAACGCAGCTCTTCCATACTACCTCTCTGAGGGCAACTGGGTTATAAAACTTGGGGCACTGCGAGGATTCAACAATGCCTACCATAGCCGCCTTTCTTCTTCGACACGAAAACTTCATAAGGCAAAGGCAAGGAGAGCATAGCTCGGTGGACGAGTCACATAAAACCTTTGCTTTCATACCGCTCAGGGAAGAAGGGCTTTTATATGGAGACCGTAGGAGGAAAGTTACAGACGTAGGATATACACAGTCAGTAAAGATCAGTTAAAGCTACACATCTTCGCTATATGCCCTGTTCACTATATGGCACAGATCTCATTGCCTCCTATTAGGAGTTTATACAACATGCAATGGAGGGTGGCTACGACAAACGTTCTAGTTTACTGGGCCAATAATAATAAAGCATAATGTGACTGCTACGCACTGAATCAGTAAGCATGAACGTAAAACATCTATAGAAGATATTATTGTGTTTCGATTATTAAAAACCTAAAATTGCACCACACAACACCTATCACCGTGTGTCGAGACTCTCAGTATACGCCCAGAGCATTGAAACATTACTCGTGAACCCTTGCATATTAAAATGCTGCGTAGCAAAATATGTTTAACGATCGCCTGAGTTCAGTCAGAAAATTGACAGCTATTACGGCGTTTTGCGCGGCGATACGTCCTTTTTGCCCGAACCAGAGCTGCAACCTGAAAAGGCTCGTGAGCGCTGTCTCTCGCTTCTATCAAGGCTGCTGACTCAGAATGAGGCACAAGACCTTTGAAACTTGCGGTACAGCAACCAACGCGCCCTCGTTGTCGCTAGTTGGGTTGTAATTGCACACTTTTACGTTGTCCATGTCGTTCCTCTCCCTCCTCGCCGTTCTCTGTCCTCTGTCAGTTTATTGCTCTAGTCGCTTTCCATAGCCTCGATAGCTTGCTTGGCCTTTGTAACAGCAGCAGCCACTCTCTCGCTGTCCCACAGCCCAAAGACCGCTTGACCACCCTGTATGCTAAGAGACCCTATTTCTATCTCAGTCTTTCCCTCTGACTGCCCTTCCTCCCTCAGCACTAGCAATACGCGTGCCAGCTCATCCCCTAAACCCTCAGGGTCCAGCTCAGATAGCGGCAGCTTCTCTAACTCTGTCTTTGCTGATGGTCTATTCTGCCCGGCCGCAGTGCCCCAGTAGCGGGAACAGCAACCGCTAGGGTCGATGGAGTAAACCTCCCCTGAGAATTAAAAAAAGCAACAGCGAAGACAAGACAGAATTTCGGTAAGCCTATTCCCAGGTCCGGATAAGTAACCAGCGAGCAACACGGGGCCCATCGGCGGCTCCTTCAACTGTGTTCGCACGAAATTTATAACAGTGTTCTTCATGCAAATTCATTGCTGACACTGCTTTTCTGTGTGTAATGTACCTTGTACATACGATACAGGGACTGTGAGTTGTGGCGAGTCCAGCTGATGTCTACAGCTGTGTCACAATGGGATATCTATGCGCGCTTACCCTTGAGTTCCTTGAAGCCTGTAACGGGGTCCGCCTGCAGCCCTCCTAAGATGCATGTCGCCCCGAAAGGCCTGACGTGCCAATACAGCGAGTATGCATGCATAAAGAGAGCAAGTCGCTCAGCTAAGACCCCAATAGGGATAGAAACGCCATAACCCTTCAAATATGCCCTCGCCTCAGCGCGGGCTCTGTGCCACAACTGGCGGCCATCAGGCACCAAACCCGCCACTACCATTCCTGAAGAAAACGCCCAATCCGAAGATAAAGGAGCGATACGACAGAGGGAATAACCCCATTACCTAGACTTTCAATTCAGTCATTATTTGCGCTTTCAATTCAGTCATTCAGCTTTCAGAACTGAGGCGTGCAAAACCTCGGAAGACAGAGCAACGGCCAGCAAGCAGAGCCCACAGCACAGCACCCATGAATGAACAAGAACACTGCCACTCAGGGGCAACGCAAATTCATGGGAAATTTGGAGGGGCGGAGCAACAAAGAGGAAACGGAGGGAATGAGTCGAGGTGCAAATTACAGGCACGCAAGGAAAGGCCATAACGAGAGAAGACACATGCCGGGGAACACAAAACAGAAGTCGAATGAGACAGGAAGGCCATACAACAAATTGATACGAAGCAGAGGGCAGAAAAACACGCAATACCGCCCTAAACGAACGGAGAAAGACTCAGAGGGAACGGCGCATATACGGCAGAGTCGCACCAAAAGACCGACCCGAACACAGAGAAGCATGCGGGGCAAGGCTGGTCTACAGACCCGTATGTGAACCATGGAGTGGATGGAACGCATAACAGTGCTGCCAGGTGTGGCAGTTTGCAAGCACACAGAATTGAACGGAAAGCGTGGGAGCACGCGCAGAAGTAGACAACGGGTGAGTCAGTTGCACTTGAACAGTCTCCCTACCGATGTCTTTCGTGACTGGGAAGATTCTCCTGTTGGACCCCTGTGCAAGCATGGCAGATACTTTTGGCTTCTCCACTGCAAAGGCTACGCCGCCCTTGCAGGCGGCGGCGACACAGAGAGCCGCGCTGTCGACTGCCTTGGCAGCGTACTCAACCTGAAAATGAATCAGAATATTTTCTTACTCATAGACCCAATAGGCAAAACACAAGGGTCCGCAAAACAAGATACCACGGTAATACACGATGGAACGGTGAAATGCATGTCACACATACTCCCAAAGAATGACCGAGCATGTTATACCTCTCAAAAGAAGGCCGTATGCAAGCAGAGGATCCCCTTGCTTAGCATCTGATAAAATGTCTAAAAACCTATGTAAGCGCCAGGCCCAGCGAGCTCTAGGCTGTGCTTGTGTCTCAAGGGTCTTGCGCTTCCCCGCGCAGACCAATTACCAGCCACGAAGTCTTAAATAGAGGCTTAAAACTCTTCGCTTTGAATATGCAGAGACTGCAATGAGGGCTCAGCCTTACCTGAAAGACGCGGCCATCGGGAGAGAAAGTTGAGACAGAAAGATCGTATCCCGATCCTAAGCCCGCCATCGTATGCGTCTTCTACTGGCTTACTATATAGCTGTAAGTCAGCTTATTCTCCTCTCCTGCTACAGACGCCGTTTCCGTCTTTCACAATCGTCACTCGGCTGCAGCAATGTTGTACGAATTGCGAGACCGCTTCCTCTGTTGCCGGCCGACCAACCGAAAACAAGTTTTCAAGAAGCTCACATGCGTGTTTTTCACGATGAGTGAGTTCGCTACAGAGGATTCAGCAACTTTAGTACATGCGGGGGGTGTCGGCCGCGAGAGCGCAGAGGGATTGGGGTGGCTGGTGTAATAAAAGTCGAAAATGAGGAAAGCAGGGGAATCTGAGGCCAAAAATGGCGGCTAACAAGTGAGTTTAACCGAAAATAAAGGCTGTGCACGCACATGGCTTCTAATCATTCTTATTAAACAACAAGCACCCGCGTGCCAGCCCCCCAAGTTGCGCTGTTCAGACTTGGTGGTGTAGAGGGGAGCGACACAAACTAAGTACGCGTTAGCTTTCTTTTAAAATATTGTGAAACGTTTGAGATATTGTTTTAGTAGAGGGGAACGGGTAGTATGCATAATCTAGGTATGAATCAATGTCCAGTGGGCGTTATTTACATGCACACTGGTAGAGAGCAGGTAGCTAAATTCAGGGTATCTGGGCACAATTTCACATATTTAGTAGAATGAAATGACTAGGGCAGCATTGCATTTCTAGTTTTTTCTTGAGTATCCGGTGCCAGGTGTGTAGAAAGTCTCAAAGCTACCGTCCTACCTTGCAACCGGCAACGCTACACCATCGAGCGTACCATGACAAAATATACAGTAATGCAGCCTCTGCTGCACTATCCAAATCTGTTAAAGATCCTGTGAGATGTTGACCTACTACGTTGAATGTCGGTGCATGCTTTTGGGGTCCGTGGCTTGAATATGAACGTTGTCTGGTTAAAATTCCAGCTGAACTTTCGTAGCGAGACAATTAATTAACCCCTAACCCAAGAAACATAGAATACGATTTTAAAATTTACTTCGAAAGTGCTTCCTCTCTGAAGACATACCCAGAAGGTGTCCGCTTGAGGGGAATTGGACTTATTGTAGTGGGCAAAGCTGCACTCAAGCTCGCTAAACCACGCCAGTTTTACGTCGTTAATAACTATTTCGAAATTGACTAATTGTGTTTTCTGCCCATATGTCGTATACAATAACAGAATACCGGTAGGTAAATACTAAAAGACGCAGAGTCGTGTGCAAAGCTCTATCAGAGGTCTCCACAACGAGACACTTAGCTCTGGACCTGATACAAACCTAAGAGAAAATTGTTCAGTGGTTTCAGAAGGGCTCCCAATGCCCCTTGTCTGCTCCCCTCAGAGTTCCAATACCACGGAAGAGAGAGATGGCGCGTTTCTGGACCCTCTAAACCTCCGAGTATTCACAGCTAGACGCTGCCCTTTCCAGTATGTAGCTAACATTACTCTCCAATGACTAAGATGTAGGAAAATAAAATTCACCTACTCAAAATTTGCTTTTTCTTGTTTAAATATGACTAGCGTAGTAAAAGGTATATACGTATAGTTAGGCCGCAACATTTGACCCGTTTCATGCTCCTTGTTTGTACCGTGAGAACAACTGCATGCTCAGCGGCGGAAGCGTTCCTGCCCCATCGCCAGGCACCCAGAAACGTGAAGCCTGTGTACATGAGAAAATCGAATAACTTCTCATCCGCCAAAGTGACATCGACGGCAAAAAACATACACTAGCCAATAGCGGGCAAGGGTCCCCACTAGCATGACCGGGGAGGCGCAATGGCTAGTTGTCGTCGGAAGGCTCAAATGTGTGTTCTACAAGACAACAGGATACAATTTAAAGATGTAGAGGAAATCAGAATATAGACTAGTTCAGTAGTGCCTCTGCATATCATAGGCCCATCCACAGTGTATTGCAGAAAAGCATTGAGCCTGTCTCCTGCCCGCATTCATCAGGATTCGCATACGAGGGAAGAGGTACAACTAGAGTAAGAATCGCTCCACCCTCTACGCACACCAAATATTTCAGGTAGCTGCGCACAGCAGCTAGCGCACAAGCGCATACAATGCCATCCTCTTATCCTGAGCTAGCGTTTTTCTGCAATAAGTAAAATGAACAAACTAACAAGCCGCGTACCAGCTCACAGTAATTTTTTTTCTAAATATATGAAGTCTACTGGATATTGCTTGAGTGTAGCATTGTCCACTACACTGAGTGTAGTTGGTTTAGACGCACAGAAACGGAGCACGAGGGCGGGCTATTCTTTAAGGGGAGTGGAAGATGTAGCAGGTCGAACTCGAGCAATTTCTACTACATTGTATACACACCAAAGGATTGGTAAGGAACTGGATAATCCGTTGGTGTGTTCGTATATCCCCATATTTCAGAGCATCGTTACTTCAATACAAGAAGACGCGGTTGTCTTTTGATGTCCACTATGGGCAATGTGCAAGTACCTGTGATTGCTTGGTGTTAAAGGGTGTAGCAGCGCGCACCCTACTTGTGTGTCTGGCCGTGTGCCAGAAACTTCGGGGGCGGGGGCAGGGGAAGGTGAGAGGTGCGCTTTTTGAGAATTTTCACCAAGTGACAAGTAAACTTTTGACGAGTCTAAAGCCAAGTCTTGCCCCACAGTGGCCTCTGTGGAAACGTTATACGTTGTGCAGACACTAAATGAAAACGTTACACTGCTGAGAAAGCGCACGGGACTTTACAGAGTATTTCGTGACCTCTTGACTCCTTGCTGGGCATTGCAAGCTATTTGGTTCTTCTAGACATCCATAGTATTGATGGTACGGAGTGCTGCTTTCCGGTTTGTCTTCTTCTCTTCCCCCAGAGTAGAGGAGGCGGTCGGGTGGTACGTGGCAAGAGGGAGTTCAGGTGTTGCTGTGCTGAGTGGCTATTATAAAAAGCCTATGATGAGCTTTAAATCAAAGGACTGGCTATTATGGTGCTATTTCAATGTTTTCTTGTGCGCTTTGTTTGTTCATGCCGTGAGGTGGTGTTCCAGTGGAGTGTGCACGTGGACTGTTTGGGTAGGCTCCTTACGGGTTCTGACTGCATTCAGAATAACATCAGTTAATGAATTTCTTCCTGCAAACAGCTTGAAAGGAAGGTTTCGGGGATAGATCAATATTTCATTTCGACTGCAGGTAGAGTGGGGGTTGTGAGGTGATGGTGGCCTGCTCACTAGGGCACCCTGGAGCCGCCGCGCAGCGGAGTTTTGCCGCTGTGCTACAAAAGCTCTCGTTTGTGTTGAAATCATCTTTCTCATGTCTCATCAGAGCCATATTACCAGTATCACGCATTATAGTTGCTTGTTAACCTCCACATAGCGACCGTTTCTGCTTCTCTCACTTCTTGTTTGCCGCCTGGACACGCAGCGAGAAGCCGCAAAGTGACAAGGAGAAGCCCATTCTTAAGTATTCGTCCGTTCAGCTTGCCCTCCTTTTCTTGGTGTGGGTGCGTTAAGGCTGCGGCAGAAACTCCTTAACCGTCCCCTGACAGCAGGTATTAAGCCCATCGACCCCCCTGCCGTAGCAGCCTCAACACCAGTGGCAGCAGCCATTTTACTGGGTCACTGCCACACGAAAAACGCCTTGTTGCTGCTCCCCCCAGTGCATGTAGATTCAGAAAACAAAGTAAAAAGAACCTCAGAGCCAACAACGGCAACAAAGGCTCTGAGCAACCTCGTCCGAAGTGGCATATCAGCGTCAGTAACCACTTGCCTCCGTTGCTGCTCCTGTAGCTGCTGCAGCACCGGCCATTCGTGATACTGCATTGGGTTACTGCGCTTCTTAACAAGTTTGCCATATGCTGCGACACGCCTCCCCTTTCTTTGAAGCAGCAGCAACGCCAGGAGCATCAGCGGCAACGCCACCGCCCTTAGCGGTAGTACGAAGAGTGGCGAACGTTCCAACTCTTCGGCTCTCTCTTCTAGAGGGCTTCTTAAGGGGCCCGTCGCTTACTTACGCGCATCCGTTTCTTCGCCCCTCTTGTACAGGGGCAGACCATTGGACCAAAACAAGCTGCGGCTTGCGAGGTGGCAGCGGGAGCAGCTTGAGATCGGGCAGCAGTAGTGCTCGGCAGCGCCACCCCCCAACGCACTAGGGGCCCCTACAAGTAAACAAAGCAGTCAGGGGGCCCCTCCACCTCCTTAGATGCCACGAACAACCCAGCGTGAGGCCCCTCCTGCCGCTGCTGCTTCTGCTGGTGCAGCAGCATGCAAGAGCACCAAGCTCCGCAAGGCCGAGGTGGAGAATAAGATGAACTTCACACCCGAAAAACAGCACCAGTCTAAGCCGCAGCAGCAGCAGCAGAAGGGAGGGCAGAAAAGAAGCAGTAAGAGGGGTGGCTCAGGCCGCTCTAAGAACGCGCAAAAGGGGGGAGCTCTATCTCCCACCAGGGTGGACTCTACTAAAGGCATGCAAAATGCTGCTGCTTCTTCACAGCAGCAGCAGCTGCTCGACGAGCATCATCGGGAACAAGAGCTCCGTAAGCCGGCTGACTGTGAAGCACGCTGCACACACGACCGAAAGATGACTTGCCCTTTCGTAAACACTATGGCAGCAGCAGCAGCTTCAGCCTCAGCACAACGGCAGCAAAATCAGCAGCAGCCCCCAATGACATCTGATCAAGCTGCCTCTTTGGCTGGAAATACAGGAGAAAAAACCAGAAATGACCACCAAGTCTTACTTCGACAGCGCCTTCTTGAGTTGCAGCAGCAGCAGCACGCATTCCAGCAGCAGCAGCAGCATGCATTCCAGCAGCAGCAGCAACATTCATTCCAGCAGCAGCACGCATTCCAGCAGCAGCAGCAGCATGCATTCCAGCAGCAGCAGCAGCATTCATTCCAGCAGCAGCATCTACAGCATGCATTCCAGCAGCAGCAGCATCTACAGCATGCATTTCAGCAGCAGCAGCACAGCCAGTACATGCAGCACCAGTCGTTGCACTTGAAAGGCCACGAACGTTCCTCGCACGATTACACCCAAGATGCTCATGCCGAGCAGCCGCTAGAGCAGACTCAGCCGCCGCTCTACTCGCAGCAGGGTGTGGTGCAGCCAGGAGGAGGTTCGGCGAAAAATCCCCTTGTGCTGCAGCTGGCCTTTGAGTTGCTGCAGCGTCATCGGCAGCAGCAGCAAACAGGAGGCTCGTCTCGAGCGCCTGTGGAGCGCCTCCCGCGTCTCGCGCAAGGGCAGAGTGAGCGTTCTTCAGGGAGTCTACCGAACAGTCACAGAGAAGCCTCGAGCCATCAAGGCATCCCTTTTGAGATTCACAGACTGGCTGTGGGCTCTTCGCTGCCTGTCTGGCAACGGCCTGCACAGGTGGCAGTCGAGCAGCGAAGCCTTCAGAAAATCGCTGCGTGCTGCCGAGAAGCCTTCCAGCAGTGCCCCCTGCAGACGCCGATTCTCCAGAAGACTCCAGCAGCGTTGCTGCAGCAGTCGATCGCGCAGGCTTCCAAGCAGCAGCACGTGCTGCCGTCGTCGCAAGAGCAAGAGGCGTCTCTCGTCGCTAGCTCCCCGGAGCTGCCTTTACGCCTCCCCCCTCCAACGGTTTGCCCCCCTTTGCAGCCTCAGCACTACCCGCAGCAGCAGCAAGTACAGTTGGGGGGCATGCGAACCAGACGCCTCGAGAGACTCAACGTGGAGTACCTCGGAAGCAGCAACAACTCCAGCACTGGCAGAAGACGAGAGGGGCTCAATGTGCATGTTTTCCCCGGCACTTATGTTGACGCGAAGGGACAGAGACACCGCGTCGTGGTAAAGCAGCTGCCGCTGCAGCCTGCAGCGCCCAACACCCCCTTGTGGGAGCAGCAGCAGCAGTTGCTGCAGCTGCTCCTGCAGTGGCAGCAACGCAAGTGCTGCGGCGTCATCGACATCAAAGGCTTCGAAGTGCACAGAGACGGTGTGGCCGCTTGCTGGAGTGCTCCAGGCGCAGGAAGCCTCCAGAGAGTTTCTCAGGGGGAAGAGGGGCTTTTGCCGCTCGCGGAAATCAGCAACAGCCGGAGCACTGTCATTCGCAGCAGCAACAGCTCCGCTGCCTTCCTCAGAATGCCACAAGACGTGGCAGCAGCGAGCATGCAGAGCACTCAAAGTACCCCTGCAGAGGCGGCAGGAAGGCGCGACGTCTACGTGGTTCTACAAGCCGCTGCAGGTCCGCTCCACAAGCACGTGAACTTGGAGCAGCTGAAGCGGCAAGCAAGCAACAACAGCTTCTTACCCCCACAAGGAGGTGAGGATCGAACTGCGCGGGGTGGAGTGTTTCTTCCGTCTTGCACGCAGGCCATACTTGCGCGCAGCAGCAGTCTCTCAGAAAAAGGGGTGCAGACGTCATGGTGAGCTCTAATAGTGTGTCGGGATGCTGCATGCGTGTGAAACCGTTCGGATGCAGTGCTGGATCTAATTTCGCATTTGCTACAGTCTCTGTTACACCTGCACTCGCTGAAGGCCGGCTGTGGAGCTCACCTCTGCATCCACCCCAACAATCTGCTGCTGCTACTGCCGTCTTTCGACGTCTTTATCGGCGACAACTTAGGCAGCATGCGGCTCCTTAGTCTGCTAGCTGAGATACGCACGGGGGCACTAACGAACCTCGTCAAGGCTCAACTGTCGCTGAAACTCGTATGCTGAGTTGAGGCTGTCTGCCGTTGCTGACCTCTTCTTTTGCCCCCCTCCCGCCTTGCAACTCCCCCCCCACGCCTTCCGCCCCCCTCCAGGCACTGCCGCTGGATTTGCTGCTGCTGCTGCGCGTTTTTCCATTCTGCTGCTGCTGACTTGCAAAACGCCCCCCTCAGCTGTACCGCGGAGCTGCTGATTCTTCTGCGTGCCCCCTCAGTTTCTTGACGATACGACTCGTCTGCTGTGGGTATCCCCGTCTTTGATTGCACGGCTAAAGAAGCTTCAGAAACACCTGAACTCCCTCATGGCGTTTCACGCAGAGCATCAGTACCTCTTGCATCCCGAGCACCCGCCAAAGAAACATCCGCAAGTCGACGTTTTCCGCATCATTGCCGACAGATCGACGACATCAGAGACACCCGCCGAGACGCCCCCCATTGTAGCAGCAACGTCTGCGGCAGTCCTCGCGATTCAGTCCCAGAGGAAAGCGACTCCAGCAGCGGAGGCAGACGCCGCTGCGCTACATGCAGCGCTCGAACAAAGGTTTGCTGCGCTCTACAAGCTAGCGGAGCTTCCGCCTGCCATCCAACAAACCGCAGACTGCTGGTCTCTAGGTGAGCAGCTCGAGGCAAGGCAAGCCAAGCCAAGCCTCAAAGCTTGAATAGCCGCACTGCTTTGTGTCCAGAAATACCTGCAAAAAGAACCCTTTGAGTGCTCCTCGTCTTCGCACGGCGGCGGAAGCCTCAGCGACGCGGAGCTGTAGGCAGAAGTTGCTACTTTCCCGACGTAGCGATTGGGAAGCGCATGATGCAGCAAGTGCAAATTGATGGAGTTCATAATTTTATGAACGAGTGCAAAGGAATCCATACGCCGAGCAGCGTCCTTTTCAGCTTGCCTTGTGGAGTCCTCTACGGCAATCCTGGCGATTATTCATGACTTGCAAAGACAGCAGGAAAGAAAGACAACAGTGGGGTGAAGTAATCCCATGCGCGCAAGCTGTGCTTTACGATGTCTGGCGGTATGCTGCTGCTGTGCTGTCGCAGGCGCGTGCCTCTTCAGCATCGTGACGGGTGGCTTGCATCCATACGGCTCCACAGAGAATCCGAAGGAAACCCTCGAAAATATGGAGAAAGGCGATATGGTCAACATGAACCTCGTGAGGCAGCACGCACACGCCTTGGTGTCTACCGTTTGGAGGCATGCAAGAAGCGTTCGAGGGGCCTTTTTGCTCATGCGATTTTGCACTTTTTGTAGTTTTCGGGTTATGCAGAGATAGAAAAGGACGGCCTACACAGCCTCGCGTCATGACGCTGCGGTGCTGCTTGATCTTGAGTGTCCTTTTGACGCAGCTCGACAATTCACCTCTGCTGCAGGACCTGCTCCGGCTTTTACTGCAGCAGAAGCAAGAGCCGGAGCAGTCGGTGTTGCGGCTGGCAGTCTGCCATCCAGTGTTTTGGGCTTCTTCGGATTTGCTGCTCTTCCTGCGCGCCTTTAGACTGATGCTGTTGCAGCAGCAGAAGCAGCAGCGGCCGGGAGAAACGAGGCGGCAGAAGATCTCGTCTCTGACGGGGGAGGCGGCGTGGAAGGACGCATGCATTCACGACATGAGCAACAGCAGCTCTAGACCCGAAGATCTGCAGTCTGGGGGCTTGGGGGATTCGGATAACCCGCTTTCCAATGAAGCTACAGATGCAGACGCATCCACTGCGAATAAGGACCAGTTGTATGCCGCCGCCTTAGCCAAATTGAGCGCTACTCCGCTCCCGCAAGACGTGCTTGCATCGATCAGACAAGAGCCGCATCTTTGCCGCACAGGACAAGACCTTTACCCCCACCACAAAGCGGTGCGTCATGCCTGCCTGCCTGCTGCTGTGTTTTTGCTGCTGCTGCTGCTGCTGCTGCTGCTGCTGCGTGCGGTGGTGGGCTCTGCCGGCCTGCACGAATTGCACTTTGCGTTTGCAGACACTGAAAAAAACTGCTGCCCCACCCTGGTTGCAGTGTATGTGTGCATGTGTTTGTGCATGTGAATGCGGAGGCCCCATCGTGTCCACACCGTATGCGTGGCTGTGTGTGCAGCTTTTTGTTGAACGACATTCATCGCTACCAGCAGCAGAAACCGTTGAAGTGGCAGGCAGCGCCGCAACGTGCGCAGACGAAGTACCACCCAACAAAGCGGTCCATGTGACACCCGACTCGGTAGCTCTTGCATGCAGCAGCGGCAGCAGCAACAGCACTGACAGCACCTTGAGGGGCAACGAAGTCAGCAGCCCCATTGCAACGGCGGATAGTGGGACCTGTCTTGTGGCAGCCTTGGAAGCTGCTGCAGCTTCCGCTTCTGCAGCTGCAGATACAGCCACCGATACGGAGGGAACGCCAATGGCGGATCTGCCGTACAAAGATTATGAAGCAGTTGAAACAACTGCAGGGACGCCCCACTTTCCTGAAAAGCCTCTAGAAACAGCCGAAACGCACCCTTCCAAAGCAGCCTTGCAAGAGGCAGCTGCTGCGCCTCCGATGAAAGCAGCACCTGCAACAGCCAACGGAGCGACGGCGGCACCCCTAGCAACAACAACAACGGTGGAAGACTTCCTCTCTGTTTTAGACTTCTTGAACCTGCTAGCCACGTTCGCTGACAACAGTAAGCCTACAAAGGGCTGCCCCAATGCCTTTTTATCTTTCTATCGTTTCGATCCTGCATGCACGCCTCCTAGTTAGCAGGCAAAAAGACGGCATGCCTCTGGCAAAGTCGGTGCAATAGGTGCCAAGGCGCTCTGCAGCGTGTGGATCGGCAGCACTTGTCCACATATACCTATGTATAAACGCATGTACATGCATAAACACACACACATGCACACACACACACATACACATAAACACGCACACACACACACATGCACACACACACACACATAAACACGCACACACACTTCCACCATCTACACCTTGCATGTCAGCAGCCCCCAGCGTTTGGACCTCCTTGTGCTGCGCATGTCACTTTGATGCTGCAGCAAGTCTGAGCGATTGCACGCGCAGCACGGTTCTACTGGGGCTGCTGAAGCAGCATCCGCAGTTGCTTTTGGCAGCAGCTAGATCTGGACTGGAGCCTCTATTTCTCGTTGCGTTTCCGCAACGAAGGGAAGGGTTTGCTGTGTCGGAGAGCCGTGAGGCAGCTGCTACGGCTGCGACGTGTACAGCTTCCGTTGCCTCGTGGCAAACGGACGCCCACATGCAGCTATCGCAGCGTGAGCACGCGACTGTGGAGCCCGTCATCAAGGAAGCCTTTGCAGAAACAGATTTCGCAGCGGCGGCTTCTTCAGAAGGCGCTCCAGAATGCAAGACGCAGCTGCTTCGGATACAGCAGCAAATCGACAGCCGCGTCCACTCGCATATCCGTCAGCACGTCGTGCAACACGTTCTCGAGAGCGCCTCGGAGGCGCAGAAGGAGCAGCAACAGCAGCAGTGGCAGCAGCAGCATGATGAGATCCTCAAAAAGCAGCTTTTAGACAGTGTCAGAGCCTGTGCTGCGCCATTGGTGCAGCCTCCGAGGAAGCAGAACGAAGCGTTTTCCATGCCCCAACAGCAACCGCAGAGTGTCTGTACAGGCATCCCCATGGCTGCGCTGCCGCCATCCTGCGTCTCCCTGCAGCAGCACGCGCTGTCCAGGCAAGAGGGAGTCGCAAGTCAGTGGATTGCGCAGCAGCAGGTGTTGTTGCAGCAGAAACCGCTGCAGCAGATGCATGGTCGGGAGGCGCTGGCAGAGAGGCTGCAGCGGCTTGTTGGAAAGACAGCGCCGAACGGCAGAAGTGTATTGCAGCAGCTGCAGCACCTCCTACTAGAGAGCAGCATGAAGGAACTGCGTCCTCCAGCTCCACGAGAAGAGTCTGCCGCGGCTGTGAACGAGACAGCAGCAGGTGTAACGACACCAGCACCACTAGCAGAGCCGGCAGCCCTTCAAACGCACACGACACTTGGGCAATCCTTGCACGCAACGCCTCGTGCCAGTCTGGAATGTAAAAGTTCCTTAGAAAGCCGCTACGAGAGACTCGCAGTGCACGAGAAACTCCCAGCAGCTGCAACTCGCGAAGTCGCCTCAGCCGTGCAAACCCACAGACCAACAGCAGCGGCAGCGGAGAAAAGCGCTACACAGCCTCCCGTCCAAGCGGAGAAGATACTTGACGGCATTCGGATCTTGCAGAAGCAGAATGCAGGACGGGAGATGCCGAAACCTCAGGAAGAGAAGAAGCAGTTCGGAGATGTCTACACCCTGCAAAGACTCCTGGCTGCCAGACTCAGCAGTCTGCGGCAGCCTTTTCCGGGCTCTCTCTCGCCTCTCTTTTCGCAAAGCACCCTTGTGGTAATTGGCAACGGTGACAGAAGCAGTGCCGCCAACGGCAGGTGTGCAGACAACGACCCCGCGTTGAAGTTTTCCCAGAGGCAACAGGAGCAGGAGCAGCAACAACAGCAACAGGAGCAGCAGAAACAGGAGCAACAGAAACAGCAAGACCACCTCGCTCCTACGAGCGGCCCCACACATTCGAAGCCGCAGACTGCAGCGGCGTCGCTCCTCGAGTGTGCAGAGTTGCTAAAAAGTAATTTAGAGTCGGAGCGGCGGGATGCAAACGGGCTCTCGCAAACTGCTGCTGCTGCAGCGGGTGTAGCTCTCAGCAGCAATCAGAGCAACAACGGCCAGTCTACAGGGCGAACATCGTTGGTGACGGAGCAGCAGCTTACAGCAGTCCTGCAGCAGCTGCTGCTGCAGTACAAGCGGAAGCACCAGGCAATTCAAGAGCAGCAACCCCCAACCAACCAAGAAGCTCCACTGCAGCTGCAGGGGCAGCCGCAGCAGCAGCAGCACATGCTGGGTAAACACTACACAAGGAAGACTCCGCAGGAATGCGCGGCAGAAACAGCTACTAGCGTCGCTTCGCCAGATCATTCGACTAGCATTGCCGGCTTGTTAGAACGCGCTGCAGCCATATTAGCAGCCACAAAGCCGCAGAAGGGGCTGTTCACTCCTCCCCAGGCGGGAGGAAGAGCACCTTGCAAGTCTGCACCAGAGCAGACGGCAGCAGTGGCCCTTATCTCAGCTGCTGGAGGGGAGCCGGATGTGCTTCAGCATGCGCATCACAGTCAGAACCTGCATTCGAAATCTGGTCGACTCGTGCAGCACCAAACGCAGGATCCGAACCTCCCCCCCCCCGAGCAGCAGCAGCAGCATCTGCAGCTGCATGCGCGGCAGCTCGATATGCTGGAGGAGCATCTTTCGCGGCTGTTGCGTGACTTAGTCGCCGCCAAAGGAATGCAACTTAAGGACCTGCCAGTGCAACTCAGCGCGCACGAACGGCAAAAGCAGTGCGAGAAGCCGCAGCCGCAGCATCAAGGGACTGGCTGGACCTCAGAGGAAAGAGAAACAGTGCTAATGGCGCAGAAGCAAGTGCTGCAGCTGCTTTGGCAAGATGCAACTTTGCTGCGTGCCACGAACGCTGAAAAAGAGTTGTGTGGCAGCCGGGTGTGGCGGCATCACCAGGCTCTGTCTGCTCATGCTGCAGTGCACCAGCTGCAGAAAAAGATCGCTGCGGAGACTTCTGCTGGGGAGTTCATGCGGTGTACTGACGGCCAACGGATAATATCGCTCCAGAAGCAGCTGCAGCAGCAGCTCCATGTGCTTCAGAAACTCCAAGTGTCAGCAGCCCATGATGCGAAGACTGAAACCTTCACCGAATATGAACAGGCGCAGCAACAGCAGCTCCTAGCCCTCCTAAGGGAGCAGAGACTCCAGCAGCAGCGGCAGCCTTCCACGCTGGTAAAACCGTGCACGTCTGTGTTCGCTGGGGAGTTTTCGTGTGTGGCGGAGCTGCGGCTGCGGCAGCTCTTGCGGCAAGAAACATCAGCAGCTCCTTCAGGAGAATCATCACCCCTCCCTGCCTCCTGGCACTTCAGATGGCATGCGGATGCCACTGACACGGCCTTTGCTGCCTGGCTGGAGTATATGCTGCAGCAGTCACTGCGGTGGCACCAGCAGGCGCAATCCCTCGAGCAGCATCGGTCGCAACAGCTTCATCCTCACCAGCAGTCGCAGCAGCAAACCGAGAAACAGCGAAGCCATCTTGAACAACAGCAGCGCATGCAGCTCCATCAACAGCCCCTGCAGCATTCAACTACGCGACCGCTTGTAGGAGGCTCTGGGGTATCAGATATTCCCAGTCATGAACGGCTTTCACCAGGACGTACTGCTGTTGATGGCTCCTCTGATGGCATGCTGCGAAGACACCCTGTTCATTTAGTTCACCAGCTGCTACACCGCCAACAGGAGCAGCTGGCTCCCCGCAATTGCGCCCCCCTAGGACCTAACCTTAGACACCTGATAGTCAGCGCAAGCGACCTGCAAGCGCAGCAGGCTAAACGCATGAATGTACTGCCCAGCGACAAGGAACTCGACCAAACACAACAAGTGCAACAAGCATCTCAGCAAAAGGCAGCGCCCAACAACCGCCGAGAGCCCCTCAAAGATCAGGAGCAACAGTCTGTACACCAGCTTCCTTCACACGTGCAAGTGAACCCCCAGCCAGAACAGCAGCACCTTCAACAAAAACAGCAACAGCCCAAATCTTCGAGCAAGAAGACGCGACGCAAGTCTCCCCAGGTATTTGCCGCTTCGCGAGGCGCAGAAACTCGTACCAAACAACAAAGACAACACCAGCCGCGCTCGGGGCAGCAACAGCATCTGACAGCCGCGAAGTCTCCTACCACACTTCCCAAGCAGCAGCCAAGGGCAGCTGCCCACCTACCCGAATGTTCTACCCCTCACGACCAGGTTACGCATCAGCAGAAAGAACCCCACGCAGCCGTCTCAATGCCAGCTACAGAGCAGATTCAGCCTCTAGAGGCTGTCGCGCGAAGACTTGTCCGCGTTGCATCAGTTCCAGCAGGAGAGGGGCTTGCGGCAGCAGACGCTCCACAAGTGCCTCGTCCTGCACTCGCATCATCTGTACAGGAGATGACAACACCTAAGCGCGTTCAGTACCATCAGCCTCAGCAGGCTGAATGGTCCGTCTCTGCCTCCCGATCAAGAAGGGGGGGTGGCGTTAAGCAGTTAGGGGGCACCAAGGTTAGCAAGAACCAGCAGAGGCACCCCCGGTTTAAGACCGCAGCAGCGAAGTAATCCTAGTCACAGGAAATAAACTTCAGGTTAAGGCAGTTCTTTTCCACCGTGAGACTCGCACTAAATGCGCATGTAAAATATCACGTGCGCAGGCGCTATCACCTAGCACTGCATGGTTCTGCAGAAGTGCAATAGTTGTGCTGCATGCACAACTGAATATTTGCTGCACTCAGACCATGCGTGCTGCAATAAGGGGAGTCCGCATAGTGTTGTGACCGTGTCAGAGAGCGACTTCCAATTATCACACTGCATCCCTATATTGAAGTTCCTTGCGCAGCAGCACGGTAGGAAAGATTCCAATCGTATTCCCCAAATGCAGACTCCACTCCCCTGGAACCAAACGCACTAGTAAAACACTTGCGATGCGAACTGCAGCTTACGCGCATCCTACATGCGTTGGCAAGTCGACTCGTTACAGTGGTGGCTTGTTGCGCTCGAGCACGCCGTTTCTATCTTAGAAGAAGACACCAGCCGAGTTTTCGAAACGCAGCCTGTGGCATAGCTGGCTCGCTAAAATGAATTTAGTGTGCACAGGAGAAAGACCCTGAATAAACCATCGGCCTAGTTGCTTTTGCTTTCAGGCACACACGAGATCCCGAAGACCACGGCGAACCAGTGGTTATTTCCATTAGGGTTCCTTTTCTCAGCTAATTCAGTAGCTTGGTGTAATTCAGCATTTTGAATTTCAAAGGTTAGGATAACGCATTGTTTTAATGCGCTATGCGCTTTGAAGGAGAAGACCCCTGCATCCGTCGCCGTATATGCAGCCGCGTCCCACAATGTCCATGGGGGCATGCACACCTGGATGCTCATTCTTCCTGCGTGTTTTGTGGCACCTCTTCTCCATTAAATTGTTATGTTTTCTTCAAAGCTTTGATGGTGGCCTGTGTTTCGCTGGATACATTATTTGGCTTTTTCCTCCTTTTCCTTGGCGCGTGTTCCTTGGATGAGGTCACCCACAGACGCAGCTCGATGTCATGTAGTAAGAGGGAATTCTGATCACCGGGTTCAGAGACTCATGCAACTTATCCTTTCAATTCCAGTAGAACAAGCCCCACTTTGGAGCTGTGGAGCCACAGCGAGAGGGCACCCATCCAAAACAAATCAGGCTGAGTTCTAAGCAGGCCGACAGCATTGGCAGACGTTTCACTGATTGTCACCCTAGTGCTTGCACTGTGATCTCAGAACTGCAATACGAATACGCTCTTTGAATTATAACTGCATTTTCATCGAGAAAAGCAGAACAACTACAGCAACTGCTGTGGCCTTTCGCGGCCTGTTGGGCTTCTCTGTGATACCTGTGCACGCACACACACTACCCGTACCCCCCTTTTCGGCCCAGCTTCGCGCTGAATCATTTTTTGATTTGGTTTTCTTTGTTATTCCGTTTTTTGCTTCGTGAGGGTGTGCCCAGAAGAAAGGCTCCTAAGTGGTGCCTGCGCTCCCCCGTTGCCAGTACATTATGCGCACACCTGCTATGCACGGGCTTCCCCAGTGCCATGGACAAAACTAACATTCCTGCGGCTCCTGCCTCTGCTCAGATAGGGGGGTCCTTCATGGGGGGGCAGGGAAGCCCTATTACAACAAATGAAGGGGAACAGTTACAATCACACCGCTGCACAGAAGACCAACAAAGGGAGCAACTACAACAGGATGAAGCTGTATGTTGCTGGGTGAAAGTTCCCCTTAACAAAGCTTCTATTCTTAGTGTATCGACTACCTCTTCCACTGGTTTCACGAGTTCCCTACCAGGTTCTCCAGAACACGACTTTTGCGGGGATAAGGGACTCACAGATTCTTTTGGCGGTCTTCTTGACACAAACGTGGAACATGAAGACGTTCCTTGGTCTTGGAAAATGGGCCACACACGTCAGATGAATGCGATGAATGCCACTTTTGATTTGTCAAAGCAAACTGTTTTGCCGGAGGCTGCTGTCGATGGAAAACTGCAAAATCAGGAGGAATCCATAAGGTACACGCCGTTCCATCCGCCTCCACAGGGGGCAACAAGCACAGGCATTGCCTCTGAGGGCCACAGCACAGCTGCACTGTTGGACTGGAATACACTGGAAACCACTTTTTCCCCCATGTATGAAAACAGTTGGACCAGTCGGAACGAATCTAGCCTTAATTCTACTAGTCCGTTAAAAGGCACAGTTCATATTCGTCAAGAAGGCGATTCAAAACAAGTAAATCCTCACATGCAGGTAACAAGGGAAGTAGAAAAGAACCTCTCTTATTCTGGGGCAGACGAACATCCAGGAGGCCTAGCGGAAAGAGCGAAGCGGGATGAGGGGCCACTGACTGCGCGCATGCAAAACGGGGGAGCCTGGCAGTATGAACGGCTACGGATCAGTTGCCCCAAGGTACCAGACGGCACGCAGGTGCCACTTGTGGAGCAAGAAAAGTGCCAGCAACCCCAAGTTCAGCTATCCGACATGCATTCCCTGTGGTCTCAACCCTGGAACTGGAACTGCTCCAGCCTTGCCCCCGATTATGTTTCGAAAGCAGTGATTCCTGAGGCACCGAGTGCATTAATACACCAGCCACTGCACCAGTTTGGGGTCTCTACCGAGGATGCCCCCAACACTACTGGGCTACTGGAGAGCAGTTGCATTCCCATCGACCGCGTTACGCATCCAGGTGCTGCGTTAGAAGGATCCCCTGTTCGACACCCACGCGCATGCGTTTTCCAGCCGCACGCAAACACTTCAGACTCTCAGTTGAAGCGGGTCACGCAGAAGTGTCCAGGGGTGCCGCACGACGCACACATGTGGGGTGGAAACAGGCGCGAACAGGAAACGATATCTTTTGAGGGGGGCGATCCGGTTGTTCATAAAGACGAAGGGGAGACCGTTGGAAATCCATGGATGTTTGTTTCTGACCGTTCTAGTCGAATGGTTTCTGCTGGTAGTGTGGCGCAAGGGAAAGTAATCCGACTGCTTCGTGAAGTCCCGGCGCTGGCTCCCAGTGTGGATGCCCCTTGTACCTCCTATAGAGATTTTACCGTAGAGGGTGCAGCTGCGACTGCAGGTATTTTTGTGACAGATACACAGCCAACAGACGATACAAAAGCGGTTACACCACCTGTCAACTCTTTGCCGGAACTGGGGGGGTCTCTTACCAACTGGGCAGTACAGTCGATGACTTCACAACTGCATCCGCACATGGTACCGTTGCGGCAGCACCATGCGCAGACAATGGATGAAACTCGGAATCATCTGACGGCAGCTGCTGAGCTGTTTGGAGGGGACGATAGGGAGCAACTGCTACTGGACGCTGCTGCACTGCCGCTTCTGGATCTAACAACTTCTCATCTAGTCTC